ACTGTGAATTACTTGAAAATTGGGTGGAGCTTCACTTTAAAGGGCTGTGCTGAAGGTGGGTAATATGGAAAAAATGTAATATCACAATACTTTCACAATACACAAAATGTCACAATATATATTTTTTCTGACATCTGATAAATTGGAAAAGACAAAATAGTACCAAATTAAAAATACTATTGAAAACTATGAATACAATAATTTCTAATTAATATTTCACATACTGTGCTTCACTAAATCTAATGAGGATTAATTGGCTAATCTAAACAGAACTAATTATGCTCTCTTTGTTATCAAACATGCAGTTGGGATGTGTTTTTAAGTATTGATGATAACCACAATATTTTAAGAAAACCTGATTGTGGCATATTGTAACGTATCACAAAAAAGATAAATATTGTTATTTTGCCCAGCCCCAGCCTGTGGGTTTACAAACGTGTGCAAGGGCGGGTGAATATTTGCATGTTTAGTGTACCTCAAGCTGTTATTTGAGTGATGGTTTAGTGTGTTCACATGTGGTTTCTAAAAGCCTTGTAAAGCAATAAACTTTCTCAGCTTGGGACACCATAAATGGTTAGTTACCTCTGTTGGAGTGAAAATGAAGTGCAAACAGATCCAAGTTCTTCCATGGAAGAACTGCGTGGATATCTTTACAACTGCAGAACTGGTTCTGTACAGCTTTATGGTTCTGGAGGCTTTGCACAGAATGGTTATGGTTGTTTTGGTGCAGCACATCTGACTGGGAGTCTGAGAGGATTACAGTCGGCTGCAGTTTTCGACAGCGGGGTTCATTCTCATTTGTTGAATAAAGTGCTTGTCTCATTTAGGTGACCACAGTTGTAGAGCTTGTCCAAGTTAGCACTTTTTCCAAGCGCATTGAGGAAAGGAGCCAGGAACTGATGTTCCAGTTGATGTCTGCCACCTTCTAGTGGTGGAACATAAGAATGAAAGGTCCAAAAATGCATTTATCTTAAGAGGTAATAATGGATTATGTGCAGGTTAGCGTGTTTTACAGATAATTAACCAAAAGTATCCGAAAAAAAAAGATTGTGCACCTTTCTTGCCAGTTGTACCATCCTTCCTGTTTTAAAACGAAGGAGTTACAGTCCTCCTAACAAAACCAGCTTCTAAGACTGAACTTTGGAAGTGTGGAAAAAATTTCTTGCAGATTTCTTCGAAAACCTGAATGTGAGTCTCCTAAAAAGAATGGAAGCTGTAATAAAAGTAAAGAGTGGACACACAGAGTAGTGAAAAATCTGATATTACATTTAGTTGTTGGGGCTTCTGGGTAATTTTCTGTTAGATGTGTTTGTTTGTTTATTTATTTATTTTGATGGTGTAAAATAACTTGTACTTTAGGGCTGTTTTGGCTGGAAATTAAATAAATGAAAGGGAGGTCTTTAACGTTTTGTACTGTGGTAGAGTAGAATCTTTAGGTGACATTGGTCTACTGTGATAAATATCTGCATTTGTAACTCTTGAGAAATAAATGTTAATATTTCTCTGTAATATTAACCCAGGTAGATTTAGCCCCAGTTTCTGCATTTTATAAATGTTCAAGTGTCAGCATCGTAAGATATGTATGTGAAAAATAACAGATGTTGTCATTCTTATGTCGGTGCACCCCTAAATACAGTAATGTATAACATATAGTTAGATTAAAATGTGCGTGTACTTTTGAATATTATTATTATTATTATTAATGCAGTTGAATCACCACCTTTACATTCAGACTGATTTAACAATGATGTTTTACATAGAAAAACTCTGCGTTCAGTTGGAGTCAGAATTTTGTCAGGTCTGGTTATTGATGCACACTTGTTGTCTTGTTTGAGCAAGGAACAGTGTGCCGGGATCAAAATCCACTGATAATGTGAATCAAAAAGCACAGGAAGATTTAGAAGCACATTTTAGTTCATTTTTTACTGCAGCACGATACTTTCAGCTGAAGTTCCAAGCATGTCAGCATTCATTTTCTATTACATTCACGTGAAGTAAGTTAAGGGGAATCTGTAGGGTGAGGCTAGCATTACAGTGCGTAGCAGAGAGAGATAACAGGCAGTTTCTTAACAAACCTCACTCTCTGTCTGTCTGTCTGTCTCTCTCGCTCTCTCTCTCTGTGTGTGAAACTGACTGCTGTTGCATGAGCCTGCACATGAACCCCAGTTACCAAACATTTTGCAAGCTGTATAATAGTAAATTAGTCCTCTCTAATTCTCTCTTGGTTCTTCTGCCAAAAAGGTGGTTATTGCCTTTTACAAAGCGCCATCGGGTTACTTGTCCATCATTGACGATCGCCCTACCGCCCAGACGTATTGTATTGTTGTGCTGTAACTAACATGCAAGCCTATGGCTAGTGCGTTACCTTAGGACTAACATATTAGCATGTAGCTAAAGTGTTAGGACAATATAAAGCACAAATATTCAGATATTGTTTTTTTTTGGGGGGGGGGTTAAACGCTGAAGGCACAACTCCTTATTTTTGCTGTATCGCAAAAAGAAACAGACACCACCATATGAAATCAAATTGTAAATTTTGTGAATTATTATATCCTGAGTAAGGGGTTATGGACAGATATTTGGCATTTGGGTAACCAGAGGGCAGGAAAAAGCGAGGACTTTGTCTGAAAGGGGCTATAAGATGCTCTTTTTAGCTGATAATACTGACAGGAGGCTAAAAATGTCAGTACCACAAAAATTTAGTAGCTCACAAAGGAATACATTTGAAAGCATGTTTTGTTATTGAAAAATGGCAGAGAGAAATCGGTAGGTTTTCATGGTGGCTGAGTAACAGGCTGCCTCTTCAAATGAGCTAATGAGCTAATTCTGACGCTACACCTAACTTCTACAACATTAGATGCTGATGAGGACTCGTCTTTTTCTCCACAATGTTTTTTTCCTCAGTGGACAATGTGCCAACGTGTTAGTTTGTCACAGAAATATATTTTCACTGTTTCTGGTCCTAGCTAACATCAGGTAGAGCAGTTAGCCTAGTTGGTAGCTAGCTACATTTAGCTACATAAGCTCGCTTAGCACTTGGGCAACACAATCAGGTTATGGCAACAGCTGAAGTTAATGCTAATGGCAGCTTAATGTTAATGCTAATGGTAGCTTAGCTTCAACATTACTGAATCGATGGTAAAATTGGTGCCAGAGCCAGCAGCATAATTTGACTTGTCAGTCAGGTCCTTAACAATGTGTCCTTGGTAATGTGCTTTATGTTAAGGTGCCCCTGTTTTGTAGTAGCAGAGTATAATATACATACTCACTCATATATGAGTAAAATTGTCACGTTTTATAGTCCCTTTAAAGATATATTTTACCAAATTGTTAGCTTGTATATTTTCTGCATCTTCCCATAATGAAACAAAGCAAAATGAATACCCAAATAGTGTTTTCAGTATTCAAATACCTGACCTCGAACATTTAATCCAAGATTAAATTACCTGTGCACATCTGTATGCTGTACTTTTGTAAGTTTATTATTGTAAGTTATCTTTGGAAAACTGATATCAAAGATTACAGGTGTTATCTAGCAACATGCTATTTCTTCTGAGACCTCTGCAGCTCAAATCTACTCATAGCAGCTTAAGTTCAGATTTCACAGAAACACAGTATTTCACAGAGACACACATTTTAATATCAGTTAAAAAAGGACCTTTTATCACAAAAGCGAAGTACTTTGAAACCAAATCCTCCAGAGATCCTCCAGTGTGGAGATATTTGATATTTGGCTGCTATGTTGTTGTTGTTGTTACTAAGGACATGATTGGTTGGTACAAGATTTCGAAACGTAATTGCGCTCGAGATGGTCACAGTGTATGGTCACTAAAGGTGTAGTATTTCTGAAATGAGTCATGAACATACTTTAAGCAGGATTGTGAGTTTCATAAATCTTGGTTAACCTGTTTTTCTGAGCAAACAAGTTTTTGGAACATGGAGATTTCAAGTGTGCAATATAAATTGGTGTGGCATATTTTGCTCATAATGCAAAAGTCAGTAAATAATTTTTTTTATATATGATGATTTTGAAAAGAAAATCAAATTCTCAGGACACTAATAATACATGTAGACATCACAAGCAATGTGCAACAAGGCTTTTTTGCTTAGTCCAGTAACTATTTTAAATGTATTGTGTATTTTGTTTTTGGTTCATTATATAATAGATATGTTCTTAGTTGAGGTGTTGATGGTATATTGAGATGTAGACATAAATATTTCCACCCCTGATACTTTTTTTGTGTTAGCATATGTTACAAGGACAGCAATAGCATGGCAAAGTTTGAAATGCAACTGAAAGAAAAAAAATGTGAAGAAAATGTGTTCAAAACATTCTTTCTCATCTATGAAACATAGTGGAATTTCATTGATTAGGTATGTATAGAAGCCTCTGAAGCCAAAAATACACTGTCTCAAGGAATGTCCATTAATAAACTGCAGGCACTTTCTATGTGTTTACCGTCTAATATCAGTGCTCTTTTGTAACAAATTGTATTAATTTCTTTGTAATTTCTTTTAATTTAAGCAACAAAAGCAGCAAGGATGGCTGTTTTGCACATGCACAAATTTGAGTCACTGTTTTGTGCTGCCATAGCCAGCTGTTCTACTTTTGTCTCTGTAGCCACTAGAATGTGATGTTTAAGCAAGTTAATCTCACGTTTTTTTCATTAGATAAGAAAACTATTCTTTGAATTCGGTATTTTTTTTTAAAGGCTCTGCATAACTTGGTTAATTTTTCAGTTTTTCTAAAAAGATTTTGTGAGCAACAACAGTGAAACAGTCAATATAACACAGTCACACAATCTGCAAAAAGTTTATTCAGTTCACGCAAGCATTCAAACCTTTATGCAAATTTTTGTCAATTTTATTTGCCATCTTTTTTGTATTTGGTATTTCAGAATTTGCATCAAAATGTGTGGATGAAAACCTAGCTTGTGACCCAGAATACCAACAGGTTCCGTGCACTATGTGTCTGGCTAATGGTATCCTTTTGATTTCAGGAGGAGCCGGGAGAGACCATGGGCAGTGACAATGATGGGGGGTCATTGTGGTTGTGCCCTTTGTGTCAGGATGGTCACGTGGATCGCAGTGCTTTGGCTTTGCATCTGACCGAAAAACACAGCGTGCTTCCTGCTTGCCTTGATAAGCTACTGGACATTGTGAATGCTTTATGATTATTATTATTATTATTTATTTATTTTAAAACACTTCATAATGGTACTTTTTATTGTCAGTTATGAAATCTATGACAGTTTATTGTAACAATTGAACCCTGTCCTTTTTGTTCAAACATAAGGTGGTTCCTATTAATCGTCCTAGTGATGAAAATGGAGAATCCAGCACTCAAAATGATACCAGTAAGTTTTCCTTTGCAAGCATTTTCTTTTAGAATTTCTGAATTTGGATATCACTACTTGTTGTGCCAAATTATAACATTCTATCTCATTTCTATCTCAAAGATGGCGTATCACAGCAGAAGTGTTTAGAAAACACCAGCTCCCCTTTAATGGCTTCCCAGAATGAAGGTGAACCAACGGATGCAAATGACAAAGATGGTTCTTCCCAGGAAAAAGAAGTGGATGACGAAAGAGGAGGAGTAAAAAATGAAGAAGGTGACTGGGGTGGTTTGGAATCGGATCAAGAGAATGTTACCCAAGCTGTAAAAACATCAGAAGCCTCTGTCAACAGTGATAAATCTGCTGATAAAAGCAGTGTTGCTGCAGAAGGTGACATTAACCGTCCATTCAAGTGTCATGCATGCCTGGAGTTCTTTCCCACTAGATCAGCATTAAGTGTACACTATAATTCAACCAGCCATATCCAAAGGATGAGAACAGGAGGGGGAAGTGAAAATGATTCCCCAGCCCCTTTCATTTCTCGCCCTTACGTCTCCAACAAACCATACCAGTGTGCAGTGTGTCGTGTCTCCTACAATCATGCCATCACCCTGGAAAGTCATTTAAAGTCTGTGTTGCACCAGAGTCGTACGAGAAATGCAGGTAATGCGGCCGCTAGTTCCACGGCAAGCTCTGGAAGTGGAAGCACGGTGGCGGCCACCAACTTGACGACCACCACGGTGGGTAATACGACACAGTTGGCTTATGCCACAGCCAGTAATTGTGTCACGCAAGCAAGCTTGACTGCATCATCAGCGATGACCAAAGACGGGGAACAGGTTCAGCCACAGCTAGCTCCTTCGTTGCTTTCCTCTCCGGTAGCCTCAGCACAGGCGGTGTCTGCTTTCCTTACTCTCTTAACCTCTAGCCCAAACTCTCTTCCACACTCAGTCCTCCCTTCTCTCATTGCTGCTGGGGCAGGTGCCACCCCAGGCACAACCACTCCTCAGCTAATACCCCAGCCTCAGATGCTCGTACCCCTTATCCTGAATGGACTCCAAACCCAAAGTCCAAATCCAGAGTCCCAAAAACAGCTTTTGCAGCAAACGGTGCCAGTTCTTGGTCTCAGTGCGGCGCAGCAGGCTCTCTTGGCCCAAGGTCTCACTGGTTTACAGAATCAATGGGCTGGTATTGGACCCTCCAGTGTGACTCAGCTGACTCCAGAAGAGAAGGATGGAGTAGCAGAAAAGGGGGTAGAAGCAAAACAGAAAAATGAGATTAAACAGGAGCCTAGTGATCAAGTGTCGCAGAAGACAGAAGAGGCCTGCACAAATGATGCTTCTGTGAAGGTGGAGCCTAAGCTAGAATATAACGCTAGTATATGCGAGAAAAAAGTTGAAGACAGCATGGCATGTGGCAACATGGAGCAGGAGAAAGATGAAAGGGATGTAGATGGCCCAGCTGAAGGGGAGAGTGTCGAGGAAAATGCAAAAGTAGTTCTAGATACTGATGCAAATAAATCCTCAGCAGCCCAAGTCCTTCATTGTAGTAGCCCATCATCATGTCCTAACGAATCTAATCAGTGTCCCATGCACAACCATGATCATGCTGTTAACAGTTTTGAGTCAAAACCTAGTTCTGCAAAATGCAGCCCTTCAAACACTAACCTTGCCTTAACTTCCTCAGGCCATACGAGTGCTAAGTCTCGTCCATGCTTGTCCTCAGGGCCTCCAGCTCTAACTGAGTTTCAGTCTCAGGTTCTGTGGGCCTTTCTGGAGTCGCGAAATGAGTCCGATGCAGCTAGTCCACCAAGAGAAGACTGTGAAGCCCTTGGCAGAGAAGTAGGGCTCACTGAGGAGGAAGTACGGAAATGGCTGGTGGATGCCCGTCACGCCAAAGATAGGCAGAGCGCAGAAGCAATGGAACAAGATGAGATAGAAGAAAGTATCGAGGATGAAGAAGGTGCTCTGATGATAGATGAAAGCGAATATGCACAGAGTCCGTCGGTCACAAGCAGCCATGCTATGGATCTGTCTAGCAGTGCAGAAAGACGCAGGGACAAGACGGACAGGGAGAGCCAAGGAGACTCCTGTTTGACATCCGACTCAGAAAGTGAAGAGTTCTACACCTCTGTTATTGTGACAGATGAGGAGAGTCAAAGTAGTTCGCTGAGGGAAGAGCCAGGTAGCCCAGCAAAACAGGCGTTGCAGGTAGAGACATCAGGTGAAAAGTCAAGCGGTGGAGGGAAGGTCCTCCGCTCCACTACAGTCTTTCTCTCAGATGCAGAGGATGAAGATGATGATGATCAGGCTGCAAAGAGCAAAAAGAGAAAAAGGGAGATTGATAAGGAGGAGATAGAGAGCAAAAAGGAGAGGCAGGATACTGATCTTGATCTTCAGTTGGAAGCCCAAGCTGACCCGCCTACTCCTCTGTCAGTTACTGTGGACCATCAAGGTCTTCCCACTGGAATCTTGCATCCCTTACCCCTCTCTCTTTCTCTCGCACCATTTTCCACTCAGTTATTCAGTCCTTATGTCCTTTCGGTTCCCTCATCTGTTGTTGGAGTTGGTGTTTCTGACGGAGACCGAGCCAAAGTAACAGCCTTCACGAATCCCCCAACTGTTGCTCGAACTCAAGCTCCGTTCTCCGCCATTGGTTCTCTTGCACAGTCCACCCGATTTTTATCTAACGGCAATGACTGTGAATCTGCATTAGACCTCAGTATTGGGAAAAACCATAGCTCAACAACATCCACATCTGTCTCAGCAAGTACAAAGTCCTCTATACAAAAGACCAATTTACTTGATGGTCTCGGACTTAGGCCTGCAACAGTTGGTGTCCCTGCAGATGGCAGTCTTATTGTTGTTCAAGTGAAGCCTGATTCTGCCATAACAATCCCAAATTCCAGCAGCAGTGCCCTTATTAACCGCAATAATGTGGCTAAGACTAGCACTGTGTTCATGAGGGCGGCAGAGAAGATAAGCACTTCCATAATGGAGAAGGAGAAAGAGAGCGACAAAATGGGAGAGCAGAAACGACCTAATGCCCGACGGTTCAGGGACATGAGAAGGTCCAGGACTATCATTCAAGCAGACCAGCTGGATGTGCTTTATGGATGTTATTTCAAAGACCCAAACCCAGGAAAGCATGAATTTGAGCAAATCTCAGAGTGGGTGCATCTGCCAAAGAAGGTGGTCCAGATTTGGTTTCAGAACATGAGGGCTAGGGAGCGAAAGGGGGAGGTCCGCTTCATCAGTGATGGCACCTTGGCAGCTGTAGGGAAACCACTCATAAAGTTCACTTGGCCACTAACTAAGCCCATTTTCTCAAGTACACCCAAATCTAACCCCAGCCCAACAAGCCCCAGCTGGGTTTCTTCCAAGCCACAACCTGGAAACATTACTCCAAAGGTCGAAAAGATTAAAGAGGAGAAGGAACCGCTAAAAATCCCCATCCAAGGTTTCAGTAGGCCAAAGGAGGTGGCATCTTCTGTTCTTGCCAGCAGTACATCAGCACTCAAAACCAAAGGCGAAGCAGTAAGCACAGTTACGATGGTTAAAATTGCCCCCAAGGCTGTGGCTCCTGCAGTTTCAATTCCTATATTAAGCAGTGGGGCTCCTCTCACTCAAACTCCCCCAAAGAACAAACTTGAAGAACAGTCTAAAGCAGACCGAGCAGAGGAGAAGGATGGTCACAGTCAAGAAAAAACTGGCCCTGGGGCAACTCAGCGCGTGGTGCCAAAAGTGTCCACTACACAAATTAACAAAGCTTCCACTGCAACATCTCCAAAACACAATGGCCTGAATTACTGGTCTCAAAAGGGTCAATTCAAGATTAATACATTGTCCAGGGAACAGTTGGGCCTGAGTGCCCCACGGCTGACACTCACTACATCTATTGTAACACCCTCTGTAACAATTAGTACACCACCATCCAGTCAAAGCCAAAAGGAAGCAAGCTACACACAGCAGCACTCCACACCAAGAAGACCGCGAACACACCTGAACTGTCTGCAGTTGTCAATCCTACAGTCCTGCTATGAGACCTGTGCTCACCCTAATGCGTTAGAGTGTGAAGCAGTGGGTACAGAGCTTGGCCTACCACTTAAAGTGGTGCAGATTTGGTTCCAAAACACACGTGCCAAGGAAAAACGCTGGAGACTGCAGCAAGAGAAGCTGGTAAGACCATCTCTACACTGGACCTGTTTACTGCAAAGGTTTTCCAAAAGGCTGTGCATAGTACTGCAAATAATAGAGCCAGTTTAAAAGGAATGAGTAGTGGATCCACCAAGATACGTTTGGTGTCCAAACTTCTTTAGTTTAGCACAGGAGTTATGTGGCTAACGCTGCTAACAGTCAGTAGTCAATGGTCAGTAGTTACCCTGATCTTTTCTGTGAATACATCTCTAGCAGCCCACTCTAACCATATTCTAGTCTGTATTATGCATCAAAGTGGTGCAGACTTGTCGATATGGTTTAAAACACAGTATGACTCACTAAGCTACAAAAATGAACAAAACATCTCTTTGTAGCTGTTTATAGACGATGATGTGCGAAAATTTCCCAGCTCTTTCTTCATGTGCATGCACATCATGCAGGCATACGGCTTATTTAATGCATGATTTTCTAAGGGGCAGTCAAATTTCGCACAGCATCTGTTGTCTACCTACATCTAGGGTAGTAGTGAAAATTTAAATTTTTACCCATCCATTCATTTAAGGATTAATTGAAACTAGAGCTGTTTCTGTTAAATCAGCAAGTCAGCTGAGTTGTAGTATTCTTGGTTAAGATTCTTTAATGTACATTTGGTATATTTAATTATTGATTTGTGTACTTGTCATTTAGAGTGGTTTGATGTGGAATCGTTAATTGCAGAGAAACTTGCTCACTGTGATTTCTTTGCAGTGGTGATAGGAACAAAGGATCATGATGTCTAGACCACAAATATAACGATTTTATTTACTATGCAAAACCCCTAGTGAAATGTGTAATGTTGATGGTAAAATAGTAATAAAACCGGAAAATGTAAAAATACCGGTTATTGGGTATCAGGCCTTGATACCATGCTCATTTACTTGTACTCATACTCATAAAAATTCACTGAAACCAGCTGATACCGTATGACATAAGCCAACATTTGCAACCAAAGTCTTTCTATACGTACTCGTATTCAGTGAATGTGTACTCATACTCAGTCTGAAAAAATGGTATTGATGCATCCCTACTCAGTGCCGTGCATTTACCCCTTCACCATGAATGGATTTTAAAAAAATCTTTTTAAAACCAAAACCTTCTCAAAACTATCATAAATGAGTGTCTCAGATATCAGGCAGTGTATTCATACCATTTCTGTGAGGGAGCTTTTAGAGATGGACATTTGGGTCCTATCACCACCACTGTGAACAACTCTAGAACTCTGTGTACAGTTATGGCACATTGTTTTTTTTTTTTTCATTTCAATATGTTAAACAAGCAAATAAATAGAAATTGTGCACTAAAATTTTCAGAAAAATGTCACATTTGTTTGTTCTCTGTAAAAGCTATTAACTTGTTTTCACTTAGAAAATCATCTAAACATGCCATTTGACTAGGGATGTTGAAACTTCACAACATCCCTAGTCGATTGGCACAACTGTATGCATTCTGCTGTTGAAGATGTTGAAATTAACAACCATTTTTTCCCATTGTACAGTCTCCTAATTCCACTGACCCTTCCAAGAAGGTGGACATAAGCTCGGGCAGCTATCTTCAGTACAACGCGCTCAGAGCCAACCGTCCAATCCTGCCCAAACCAGTACAACTGACAGTTCTGGAACCTTCTCCGCCCCCCACTGTGGGCCAGCCGGCGGGCCGCGAGACACTACGAGGAAAATGTGAAGTGTGCGACGTAGAGTTTGAGTCGAGGGCAGCGGTGCGCGACCACGTCTTCTCTCCTCGGCATCTGGCCACACTGAGAACCACTAACTTTGGTCAGCCAGCAACACTAGTCAACAACGGTTCCTCCACGGGATCCACTGGTGTCGCTAGCCAGTCTTCTTCCACATCACCAGCTAGCAGCACCAGCTAAGAAACGGACTTGGAGCTGGTGCACTTAGTGGACCCACTTTGCATTTTAAGCTTTTAACAGAGAAAGGGTGCTTGTCTTTTCAAGCTAATGTTCTTTTGGAGTCTGAGTGGGCCCGGAGAACTTAATGCTGCCTGGATGACAGCAGGGGACGATATTCTTTTGGTTCTAAACAAGAACTTCTTTCAATGACTTATTGCCACCACATCAGTTCACTAAAAAAAAAAAAATAATCCAATGAAATGGTAATACTGGACAAATTGCAAATGCTTGTGTGGTAATGGTCCTTTTATGTCTTTCACGGCTCTGTCTGAGTTTTAAAACATCTGATTTCTGTTGTGCTTGTTTATTGTTATTATGATTATCCTCTCATGCTTATTCAATCAAACTCTGGTCTGATTTGGGAGAAATTCACCCTTAAACTCATCAAAAGTGATTTGGATCGATGACGGTACAGCTTTTGTTTGAGATGGGGGCCTTCAGTCCGTTTCCAGTCATTTTGTATTTTATCAGAGTTTCAGTTTAGCGATCTATTACCACATTCAGATGGTCATAAGTTTTAAAGTGTCGTTGGGAGTTTTTACGCGAGTCAGATCATTAAAAAAATCTGAACTGTACAAAATAGCTAATGGCTAGTTCAGGGATGGGTTCATATGGTTTTCAGGAACCAAGGGAATTTGAATGGGATTCGAATCCATACAACAAGGAAGACACAGTGGCCTCTTCCATTTATTTGAATGGATCCATCATGACAATCCTACATTATTTGAGCACCACTGGCAAAAGCTAAAGATGTCAAACAGCCATCATACAGCACTTTGTTCCTTTTAAGGTCTGAAGCATTTTAAAGGTTTTCACATTGCTCTGAATAAACGTTTGTTTTATAGTGATGTCTTACTGTATGTCCGAGTCAAGACTATATTGAAGTGTTAACAGCTTTTGCTGTTTTAAAGACCTGTGCTGCACATTGTTGAAAACGGACAGAAATGGATCAGACCTAGCCGCTGTGCAAAAAGCCAAAGTCAACTCTATACTTTTAGCGCAATTTTAAATGATTTTGATACGGATTTGTGAAACGTCAACAAATATGATAATCTCCACTCAGATCACTTTTTTGTTCTGTCATAACCTTAGCCTGTCAAGCATAAACAATTACTGCTTATTTACAGTATAAGACAACCCCTTTTTTATATAGGGATGCACAATGATATCGAAATTGTATCAGTATCTGCAGATAACTGTTAAATTAGCGTTGGACAGATGTTTAGATTTGACCAATATTTCAAACCAATATTTGATGTTATTATTGCCCTTTGGAAGATGCTAAATTGTAATCCAGTGCTCAAATATCTGCATTTTATTCATTGTATTGCATTTGTAACCCTCTACAAATAATTTACATTCTCCGTAATCCTAATCCCAGTGGATTTAGTACCGATTTCTACATTTTATAAATGCATATTTATCAGCATCGATATCAACCTGAAAAAAATATGATATCGACATGGGCCCACAATTACCATATCAGTGCATCCCTACATTTTGTGAATGAAAATGGGAGAGAACAGTCATTTGTAGACCTTTTTCCTTGTTGAAGCATTTTATGTGAGTGCAAATCAATTACTTGTACTGGTTAGTGGTCATATAGTCATGTTTTATCCTAAAGCCTCTCCAGCCCTCAGAGGTGACAGCTGTTTTGAGGTACCCTTTTTTTCCTTTTCTTTTGGTGGTTCTGGTCACTGACGATTCACACATGAGGAATCAACAGCAGTGCGATCCGAAGGACATGAAATACTAAAGAGAACTGTCATTTTTGGTTTTAAGTTGTATGTTATAATAATAATAATTATTATTATTAATGATGTTACTATTAATAGTTTAACAAAATGCAAAACTAAAAAGTAACTTTTTTAAAGGAACTATATTAAGAAAATGGTATTCCAAAGTTATTCTTCCTCTTGCTTTCTGTCATTTAAAAAAAAAAAACAAAAAACAAACCAAAAAGCATTTTGAAGTTAGAGGAGTGGGAGAGATTTGTTTGTAATGCAAAGTTGTAAAGGATTTTTTTCCCACACTGACACTTTGATGCCACTTCCAGGACATTTTACACACTGAGCTGAAAGCAGGTGCATTTCGATCAACACAAGGTGGAGCACTGTAGAGGCTAGTTGTTTTTTTGTTTTGTTTTTGTTTTTTTTTAATGCGCCTCTGTGATTGTTGGGTAATAACACTCAGTGTGGAGCTGTAGCTCTGGATGCAGTGCACGATGGGATTACACAGTGTTGCACTCTTCAAAGTGGATAAGTAAACATAGAAACCTGCTTTTTTGTCTGATTTTTGTTTGTTTTGTTTTCATTAACACTTATCACTTGTTAACTACTACTTGCTATTGTTTTCATTACTATCATCACTGTTTTTGATTATTATTGATTAATAACGGTTTTTAATAACATCTCTACATTCACTGAGATGGTTTTGGTAAACAGCAATGATGGTGACAGTGTTGTTATGAAATACTAGTTTATTGTTTAAGCTTGTTTTTTCCTTACTTGTACCCTTATTTTGTGTTGGATCTCCTTTTTTCTTATACAGAAAAATAAACTGAACTTCATTTAGTGATGTTAAGGTTGTTGGTTAAAAATTACAATCGTTGTTTGGGGGGGTGTTTATTCTGAATTTCATTTGGCAACTGATCATGATATATTGGCAATATTAACACACAGCTAATACATGGTTTCTGCTATTCACACTCACTTTCAGAGACGTTATATGCTGCTGTTGACCCATTTGATCCCCATTTTTTTTCCTCATGACAAACTGAATGCATTTTTAACAATTGTTTTGGAAAAGTTAATGCAAATATGTTTTGAGTCAAAACATGCATTAATCAGACTCAAAAATATTATTTAAAATGGCATATAATTAGTAAACAGTAAAGAACATTGAGATAATGGCGGAAATGCCACATTTAGTCTCTAGCTCAGGGTTGCCCTTTTGTCTTAGGGGCCAAAGTGGTGGGCTGAGAGCCAAAAAGACAAAATAATATAGAAATAACGCTGGGTTTGAAATAGTTCTTTAAAAATTTATTTTATATACTTGCACTACATTTTAACACTAAAAACTTAAAAGATACAATTTTAAAAGGAAAATAAGAATTTAGTATATATGAGATAAAATATATTTTGTTCTTTCATTGTGTGGAGGGTTGGGGTTAGAATAATGTTCTGCTGGATCAAATCAAACGTCCTCACGGGCCAATTTTGGGCAGCCCTGCTGTAGTCCATCAGGTCATCTTGCTCCAGCATGTCCAAAGTCAAGTCATATGAAACAATGCAATAGTGACGATTCTCAGCAGCTAATATACGCCACTGCTTTATCGCTCTGGTCACTATAGTGATCATTAACAAGTTTATATCTTCTGCATGATACAAATGTGGCATAGACAGTGCTGCTGTTAGGGAAACAAAAATACAGACGCTATGGAGTGCAGTTCAAAAGCTGCAGAAAAAGTGAATATCTATGGCACTCTTCATCAATAATAAACTCTTTAAATATTGTATCACCAGGTATGGTAGTTATAGTAAAAAAAATGTCATGAAATCAAGACAACCTATAATTTCATTTATAGTTTACCATTCAGTAGAAAACACACTGATATATTTCTTAGAGGTTTACAAACTCAAAGTTTCGGACACCATTGTGGCCGATGGAATTAATTGCGTTAATGATACAAAAATATATATATTCTTTTAATCGGAACGTACGTGTGTGTGTCTGTGTGTGTATGTATATATATATATATATATATATATATATATATACATATATATATACACATATATATATATATATATACACATATATATATATATATACATATATATATATATATACATATATATGTGTAAGCTCAATAAGTACCTAAAAACAGGAACAGGAAATTTACAAAAAAACATAATGTACTGTAAGACAAAACATAAATGTAAATGCATCAAAATAAATAACAAAACACTGCAATAAAAATATGTACTTAAATAAAATACACACACATGTGTGTTTTGGAAATACAAAAATACAGAACTGCAAAGTATTTCGCTACAAATAACCTAGTAGTTTTAAACTGAGCAAATTCTAACTGAGCGAGTCTGTGGTGTATATTTCATTCAATTCTTAAACGTTGTGCCACGCAGCGCCGTGCTGAATGTTCCTCTTCCTCAACAGTGTGATCCTTGACTGACACGCCGTCATCCAATCCCAAATCACATTGTAAAACCGATTCTGCCTGAGGAGCGATAGGCGGCCAATGAGAGCTCTGGATATGCGAAGAGGGCGTGTCCCACCCACAGAATGGACCAATGTGCGGACGAGTTGGTGGCTGCAGTGCGTGTAGTCCCCGCCCACGACTCGCATTAGTGTTCTGGAAGACGCGGCGCAGCGAATAAAACACATGCGGGTTTCAGAACATGTTCATGTAAAATAAGAGAAATTGATTTTATTTTATTACGGGGGGATTAAAGCCGATCCAGCTGTTGCTGTTGCGCGTTAGAGTGGGTTACAGAAAAAAAGGTCTTGAGTTTTTTTGTTGTTTGTTTTTTTTAAAAAACGAAAGGACAGGCCTTTTATTCCTCTTTAACCCCCTCCGCTGTGTGAGTGTGTGGATCTTTTTTTGCCCCTCCTGCCCCACTATCTGCCCCCCCTCAGGGGTGAGTCGGGCCCTTACCGCACAACCACGAGGCGAGGAGTGGAGCAGCGGGAACCGGGCGGCATGGCTGAGTTTGGGAACGGGCTGGCGGAGGAGTCGCTGTTGGACTCAGACCCCGGGCATCCGGAGCTGGAAGACCCGGGCGTGGGCGACGAAGAGCCGGGCTTGGAGGAGGGAGAGGCCGCTATCGAGGACCCGGTGAGTGGAGGACAGGGAGGACGGGGGTTATCGCGGTTACAGCCACACACATCGCCAGCTGAGCGTCTTTTACAACCCGTGGGGTGTTTTACTGTCGAAGTGGATTACGTTTTGTTAAGAGAAAAAGTGTGGTTTGTGGTGTCGCCATTCCGGCTCTCAGCCCGCGTTTTGGCGGGCAGCTGTTCGGCCGCCATTTTGGCGCAAAACGTTGTAGTTTCTGCCGCTGCTGAAGGAGGAGAGTGAGAGAGAGAGTGAGAGAGGGGGGAAAAAAAACACCGAGCAGAAAAAAATACCAAACGGAGATGCGAGAGAGACGGTGGGGGGGCGAGGGGAGGACACGGGCCGCCATTACCGCTGCTGTGGGAGCCTGTCTGCAGATTAAAGGCGAAATAAAAATAAAAATTTAACCGGCGCACGGTAAACACGACGCCTCTTTATCTTACGAGTTTAAACGCGTTAGCTTTAGCTTGTAGCCTTTTTAGCTTTTAGCTTCGCGTCGTCGGTCGGGTTGGAACGATAAAACGCTGACGACTTGTTTTTTTGCTGGTTAAAATACAAGAAATGCAAGATATGCGTGTTAGTTTTGATGAAAATGTCCCATGTAAATATGTATTGTTATTTATTCTGTATTTTTGTAAAGACACAGATTAGGATTTTTAGGTCATGCTAGCTAATGGGTGCTAGCTAACGTTAGCACGGATTCTGCTGATTTATTGCCGGCAAGTTCGCTGTTGTCACATTTTTGTTCGTTTTTGTTACTCATTTGTGTCTGAGGATGTAATGTAGTTGGTTGTAAACGACTTTATAAAATGATCAGGCTCTGTTTTAAAAGAACACAAACCATCTCTTTGTTGTATATTTGCATCTTGGGTGGCATGTCTTGTATAATGAGTCAGTTTTTTTCATTTTTTTGAACAGGGGTTGGTTTTTGGGGATGTGGTAGATGTAAACTGAGGTTTTTGGGATGTGAGAGATGGAAAGTGAGATTTTAGGATTTGATAGATGTGCATAAAAAGAGGTGTGGTGCTCTAAAGCAGTGCAGGTGTGCCTCCCAATGCATAGCCTTACATGCAAGGCGTTGACATGATGCTGGTAACACGTGCTGTTCTTAACAGCTTGCTGACATGATTGTGTGTCTCTGTAGATGGTGAACGCATTTATGTGTGATGAGAATAGGGAATAAATAAGGACTGGGGTGGGTTTGATGGTGATGCACGCTGGCAGAAGCGCTTGGATGCTGCTGTGCTGTCCTAGGATGGAGCATGGTCGGATCCTGCTGCCCTGCAATGCAGCATTGCCACAAGAGCAGACTCCAGCTCTGTGTAGAAAAAGGCATCACGCCCTGGATCAGGCTTTAACGGCCATGAGCGTGCTGTATGGAAAGCGTTATGATCGGAAAATCCGCATTTTGGTGTCGGAAAATGCAGTCAGAACAAGAGAAATGTTTCATGTATAGTGCTAGTAGAAACATGTGATTTTGTATCAAATTCTAACAGCAAAACTCAAATTTAAATAGTAGGAATTATTTTAACATGCAAAAAATGTTTTTTTTGTTTTTTTTGTGGAAGCAGTTTTAGCTTTCAATCCTGAATTTTTGATATCAGAAATTAAACTTAAAGTAAAACATAAGTAATAGTAAGAATGTCACTGTCATGTAAAACATCAAATTCTAGTATGTTTTCTTAATCATATGAATTTTGACTGTTCTGAGTTCATTTTAATTGCAGGAGCAGTTTCTAGTAATGAATTACATTGTAGCATGCTAATTCAATTTTCATGTTAATATTCAACTAGTGAAAATGTAATTGTTACAGGTTAAAAAAATACAGGTAAATGTAAAGCTCTGGTCACATCTAAGAAAGAAAGCAATTTGAACGTTAGATTTGAAGTGTTAGATTTTGAATTTTATGATGGTTTTAATTTTATTATTTTTGGGTTTTTTTCATGTTCATTCATACTAGTAATTTGTTCTCATTTCTAGTGAACTTGGGGAAAACAATGGCTTCTTACTAGTGCTGACATCTTGCTAGAACCGTAATCATGAATGCCAAAATATTTTTTGCTTGTAAATGTTGAAGTGTGACATGTTAGAATGAACTGTTTTTGATGTCAGATTTCATTATTTTAATTGTATTAAAAATGTTTTAGTTAACTGATTTCTGATATCAAGAAACTTAGTTGGTGCTGCAGAAACGAAGATAAATATAGTCGTTAGCAATCATTATTGGGAAGAAGGGTTTTTAGTTTCCATCAGTATTGATATAATGCCATATTAACTGTTTGAAGCATGTTTTCTTATATTAAAGCTGTCTGTATGGGTGATCATTTAAGGCTCATTTGTACTGTGTTGGTGCACAAAAATAAATGACGTCCGTTTCAAACGATGTAACTGTCACTGCTCATATACCTCCTGGCATCCTTTACATCGGCTTGGATGTTATGCAATACATCTGCTAGAGGACAGTCCAGAGTCAAAAGTTTCTGACAACAACGAACACGTTATTGGTGGAGGAGTTCGTAATAATGTACCTGCTGTGGAAAAGGCAGCGTTGGAGACGGCAGTGGTCTGTGAGGCTATTAAGTACTTCGTGACGTGAACAGAGGGTTTGTTCATTTACATCACCAATGAGAGAAACTGACGTCTTCCTTGAACTATTGGTACACTGTCCCCACGGTTTCCAGCGGTACTGCTGTTCCTCCGCATCAGTATCTGTATTTAACGTTGCATATAAGTGAATCTTTACTGTGACATGTCTGGCCTGAGATTAGTTATATTCATCATATTCTTGTTTAGGCATGAAAGTTATAGCTTTGAGGTGCTGAACTGATGCTGATTTGGCTGTTAATGGTAAAATGTTTTGGCCCTCACCCCTCTGTCATTAAGGGTAATGACGTGACGTGGAATTGGCGTAGTACACTGTAGTTCTGTCAGTGGGGTGAAAAACATTGAAAGGTCTGTGGACATTGTCACAGTCATATCAATACCTTGTAACTATACATACATATACATACATTTTTATATTGTTATAAATAGTGTAATAAATCAGAGATGATATTCTAGTGTATATCTCATCACTGTTGGAACAAGATCTCCAAAATAGTAACAGGGGACGGAAAATTCTACCTGACTTTTATTGTAAGGTGTTTTAACATTTAGGGATGCACAGATATGAGTTTTGAGCTAATGCCAACATCCGATATTTTTTGTGTAAATATCTGTCGGTGTAGAAATTGGGGCTAAATGTCCCTAAAGAGTTGAAAATGAAGTAAAATGAATAAAATTCAGATGTTTTAAGTTATCCACAGTCAAGTAAACCTGCTATTTTGGAGTTCAGTATTTAAATCAATATTTAACAGTTTCAAACATCAGTCAAATCTAAATATGTCCATTTCTGATACCTTGTGTTTTTTTATTATTTATTTGTTTGTTTGTTGAGTCCTCACGATAAGATTGTCATGCATCCTTGGCGACTATTCCAGTTAATTTTGGACTATATTTATTGGTCTATTCACCATTTGTAACAATGGAAATGCAGATGGAAAGTTTGGTTCTGATACTTGCATTCATTTTGCATCATTTGAAAAGTGCCAGCTGTTCTTTACATTGCATGAACACTTTATAATGAACAGACCAATAGTAATGGTGCAACATCCGTAATTATTTCGTACATGGAAGTGAAATACATTTTATGTGCCGTTGTAAAAATTTAAGGTTTTGTTCCAACATTGACACTATGCTTTTGTATCATTTAACAAACATTTCTGTATTGTAAATCTACAGGAGCTGGAGGCCATTAAAGCCCGTGTGAGAGAGATGGAGGAGGAAGCGGAGAAACTGAAGGAGCTTCAGAACGAGGTGGAGAAACAGATGAACCTCAGTCCTCCGCCTGGTAAGAGGGAGAGCAGGGTTTTGGGGAGTGAAAACGAGCGTGCATGTGGGGGAGGGGGTGTGTGGGGGAAAAGAACACACTGCGCATCAGCCACTGCTGACAAATAGGTCTGCGCTACAGCGGGCAGAATCAGTGGGGTCAGTCAAGATTTTTGACTGAAAAAGGATGTAACCTACTTTCTGTTAAGGGACTGCTTGTGAATGGTGAGCTTAGGATAACGTGATAAAACTTAGTGTAATGAGCAGAAAATTAAACCTCGCTTTGGTCAGTGTAAGGTCACTAAATAAGAAAACACTGATTCGAGATCTTATTAAATAGCATAAGCTTGATTTTATGTTTGTCTGAACATGGCTCAGTCAAAACAGCAGAGCAACTCTACTTGAAGCTGCTCCTGAAAACTACAGATTTATGCATACGGTAAGACAGGGCGGAGGAGGAGGAGTAGCATGCATTTATAATAGTGACTGACTGCAAAAATACCACTATTGGTGAATTTATGTCTTTGGAGTATGTTGAGATCAACCTTTTTTAGTGATGCTTCTATGTTACTAACTAATTTATATACCTCCAATGCAATATAGTACTTTTTGGCAAAAATTGTGGAGTTAATATCAGCAAGCTATTATTAAATTTCTTCTCTCTGGGGAATTTAACTTACATATTTATAATCCATCAGACAGTAATATTTTCCAATTCATCAGATTTCTAGTGACATTTGATTTGAAACAGCACAGGGGCAGCCTTCCCCACAAGCTCGGTCACATCCTGGATCTGGTAATCACTAAAGGTTTAAACACAAACGTGTCCCTGGTCACTGATGTTTTCAAATCAGATCATTTCTGTATTTTCTTTCAATTCAGTTTAGAAGAAGTAAGGAAGAAAGTGCCTGAAAGTTACTTTAAAAAGCATTACATTCACTCAGAAACAGTTGAAGTTTTAAAAAAAAACATTTATAATAGTTCATCAAATACAGCACTGACTCCCTCCTGTAATGATCTGGTCTCTGATCTAAATGCTAGATTAAGGGAAACTTGACACACTCGCTCCAGTCAAAGGGAAGAAAAGCTTGCATACTCATAAAAACCCATGGGTGCATGCGAAAATACGCCAGAGGAATTGTCATAAATCGTAAAACTAAGCTGCAGGTATATTATGATATTCTCAAAAAGCAGATCTCCGCTTACAGTAATGCTATGAAAATATCCAAACAGTTATACCTCTGTAGTTAATAAGCACAAAGATAATACTAAAATCCTTTTTTCCACCATGGACCGACTAATTAACCCCAACTTTTCTGCTAGTGTGTCTCATGGTGATTTATCTTCTGAAATTTGCAAAGAGGTTGCAGCTCATTTTTAAAGTAAAATAGATTTGATCAGACAGAGCATAGCTCAGCTGACTGAAACAAGCTCCTATAACCTTCCTGAAAAGCCACCTACATCATTAATGACATCTTTCTCTGTCAATTATCAGGAGTTTACCCGTTATAAAGGAATTGAGCGCATCCACGTGTAATCTTGACCCTGTTCTTACTTCTCTCCTTAAGATGGTTATTTTGATTATGTTCAAAGTGATGTTTTAACTACTGTAAATTATACTGTCAACAAGTGCTTTTCCAGATGCTTTAAAAACCACCTTGGTGAAGCCTCTGCTAAAAGCATGGATCCTTTCAAAGTAAACAATTTTGGACCAGTTTCACACCTTCCTTTTTTTTTAGGTAAAGGTAAAGTTGTTTTCAAACAATCAAATGCGTATCTAATATCAAACAAGTTAAATGGAAAGTTTCAGTCAGGTTTTTGTTCTAACCATAGTACTGAGACAGCGTTGGTTCGTGTTGGCAGTGACCTCAGGCCCAACACTGATGCACAAAATGGTTTGACGAAATCATTAATCAAAACATTTCTTAAGGAGTCCCACAAGGTTCAGTTTCAGGGCCTTTTCTTTTTCTCTTTGTACATGTTATTTCTAGGTGATGTCATTAGGAAACACAAACATGTTTATAGCTATGCTGACGACACAATTATACACTTTCATTCCTTCTTATAACAGAGACTCTGTAGACAGGCTTACCAGCTGTGTGTCTCACAGTTCTCAGTGGATGTTGCAAAATTGCACAACTAAATCACAAAAAAAAACTGAAATACCGACCTTTGGTGCTAAACTCAGAGAAAGCTGCTTTAAGGAGCTTCATTCTTTAGCTTCATGCACCAAACTTGAAATACAAAACCTGGATGTGATCTTAGATTCTGAGCTCTGCTTCCTAAGAAAACAATACATCCCTTACAACTCGTACAAAATGTGGCAGCACGCATCCTAATAAAAATAAAAAGAGAGATCATGTCACTCTGTCATTTTGAAAGAACCTCACTGCCTGTCTGTATCTTTCAGGCTAGGTTTTAAGTTCTGCTTCTAGTATTTAAGGATCTAAGTGACCTAGCACCTGCTTACATCACAGTGTCCGTTATAGCATGTGATCTTAGATCTGCACATACTGGCCTTCTGCAGATACATTCCGTAAAATACAGATAACGTGAAGAGACCTCTTTTGGTTATTATGGCTTCTAAATTGTGGAACTCAATTCCATGTGTTTTAGACAGTCAGGCTCAGTACACACTTTTAAGAAAGATTTAAAAACGTATCTCTTGAACTTGGCGTCTAATTAAAACTCTAGGTCTCTTGGTATTTATCTCTCTTTAATTTGATCTTTGTCAATTTCTCATATGATTTTAAATTGGTACTCATAATTTCTTGAATTACTGTTAAGCTTTATCACCTGTCTGTAAAACACTTTGAGCTGCCACCAGCATGTGGCTATAAATATTATTATGTAAAGGAGTTTTATCAGTTTACGTGTTAACTAATTTAGTTACAAAAAAAGTTTAAGGGATTGTTGAAATTCCCCATTAACTGTAGACTTTTAGTCTGATTTTTAACACAACAGTAAAAAATCTAATTGTGAATAAAAGTATGAAAATTACCAAAACAATTGAAATGAGTACTGTTGATGTTCGTCCAACTTTAGACCAACTAGAGCAAATTCTGAGCATTTATCATGCTAAATTTAGTTGTAGTTTTCCTTTTAAAAGTATGCCTCATCATTGATTGTGTCCTAAAGTGAAGTGTCTCCCCTCCTCCAGCTGGTCCTGTCATCATGTCCATTGAAGAGAAGATGGAGGCAGACGGAAGATCAATCTATGTTGGGAATGTAGGGACCACTATTCACTTCCTACTTTTTTAATTAAAAAATTGAATGTTATTGAATGTAGAGCAGTTGTTTAAATTCTGAATACCCAGTGCATTACTACTCAAATTAGAAATGTAAGGTATTGTAATTGTCAGTGCCTCAGTAGGTGATGCACTCCCCGCAAATTACTTTCAAATGCAGCTAATAAGAGCAATTATTTTGTTACCATGCTAATTTTTAAAGTTTTAGGTGAGCTTCAGAAGCATAAACAAAAGTGAACGATGCTAATACAGTGTAACGTTCAGGCATTTTATGAAATATTTATTGTTGTGATGCCAAATTTTCCAAATTTAGAGGAATTCAATAATCCGATGTTGGTGTGTCTTTTGTCCAGCTACATAATGCATTCAAAAGGCTGACTGATTATAAATTACCACAGAAGTGGCATTAATGGACGGGATTGCACCCTTTCGTTACTGAAGTTGTCTGCGTGACATACCCTTCCATTTAGAAATAAAATTTTGAATGTACTCGGATATCAACAGCGTGTAAACATTGTTACATTATATAGTAGTTATCTTTTATTTAAAGAACGTACACATAATCTAGCCTCCTTTATTTTAAAAACTGTTTGAGTAATCGTCTCTCTCTTCTTTAGGTGGATTATGGTGCAACGGCAGAAGAGCTGGAGGCTCACTTCCATGGCTGTGGCTCTGTTAATAGAGTCACCATCTTGTGTGACAAGTTCACAGGACACCCCAAAGGGTAATCTACAAATTACACTCCCTCTGCTATTTCTCTTCATTCCATTCTTTCTTTGTCATAGTTCTCACTGTAAGGCCAGAAAAAGCCAATATACGGTAGATGATGAACACGCTTTGCTATGGGGAAACTTCCACTAGGTATGTCAATATACATGAAATTTAAGCTTCGATACAATTTTTGATTCTGATGTCAGGATCAGATGTGTTTTTTTTGTTTTTTTTTGGTTTTAATTAATGTTTTTAATTCTAGAGTTCGAATTCTGTTCTAGATAGATTTGATAGACAAGCCCTGCTCCCTCTCCACTTCGAGGTTTCTATGACTTTTAAACAAAAGTCTGTAAATAAGGCTTACTTGGGAGAAAGCAAGGGACGTATCAGTGATGCAGTTTCAAAATCCCCCCTACAAATAAAATAGCTTGAATAGTTTAAAGTTGAAGGTTTACTATCCGTTTTGTAAGTATATTTGAGTAAAATTTTATCATTGTATTAATCTCAAGAAGGACGTGCACTGTGCAAAAGCATGAAGCAGAAATTTTCTAACAAAGTGACAGTGGTGTGTTACAAACACTGTAGGCTTTGACTTTCAGGCTGGCAGATCTCTTTTATATTTTATACAGATTCAAAGTTTGCTTTCTGCTGGGAAATAAAAGTTTAAAAGAGCAAAAGAAAACCTACCGCTCGTCACAGGCTTGTATACATTACCATGACTACACCACAGTCTCTGAAACGTCCACACAGCCCTGATCAGGCAGGGAAGCTGGGTATTTCTAGCTAAATCGAGGAAGGTCTAATTGCAGCACCATATGAAGGCATTTCTGTGATGCAGGAACGCCCTTCATGTGACATCAGGGGCAGGTGGGCTTTGGAGTAAAAGCCACAGTAACGTTGCTGAATAAACAGAACTATGACAGCGTTTTATGGCCTCTGTTAATAAAAATAAAAATAGTACACTTTGAGAATAAAGCTCGCGATATTTTGAGGATTAAGTGCTAACTGTAGGGGGGCTGACATAACGAATTGGGGTCTCGGTTGCTGTACTGGTGAAGACACAGCGGAAGACACTGAGCACGCTGTTCCACACACTCCTGTCTCTTTGTGGATCGATCATTTTGATCATCATTCACAGTGTCTGTGAAACTTTATGCCCTCTTTGAATGGCATGGAGATGTAGCCACAGATTAATGTCCTAGTTCTATGATATTAGTATCGAAATATGACTCTCTTCTCAAAATATTATGATTTCATAAAATTGATATCAAAATATTATATTCATTAAATAATACAACTTTTTTCTTGAAATATTAGGCCTTTTTTCGTGAAATATTACAACTTTATTCTTGAAGTCCACTAGATTTATTTTTATTAACAGTGGCCCTAAAATGCCATTGTGCAACAGTGCAAAAAAGAGGGAAAGATTAATAAGGTCAAGAACGAGCGCTTTCATTACAGATTATGATGTCCTAAGTTTACTGTTACATTAACATTTTAGTATGACCTTAAAACTTGTGGAAAATAAGCACATGGTTGCTCGATAGTTAACAATACTCAGCCTTGCCAAAGTTATATTATGCAAGCTGGCAGCACCACGGTAACCCCTGCTTAATAAAGACTATTAAGATTAAAATCTGATGGTTTTTGCCTCCTAATGGTTACCATAGGAGACCACTAGGCGTTCTTGTTCTACGGAAATGCCTTTCATTGCAGTTCATCTGTATTGGCTAAATCAGCTATTTTTCTTTGGTTTAAAACCATCGAGACCTGAAACGATAGCAGTCAACTCTCCGCTTAATCCTTCGTTCCTTAACATCATACATGATGCATTAGATGCTGTGAGGTAGATTCTTTATAGCTTTGTTATTAATGATTAATAATCCATCTGTTTGATCTTCAGACTTCGGAAAAGGTGCTTCAGGCTCCCTGTAATTAGCAGTAGAGAACATGGAGGCATCTCTGCCTAACCAGTGTACAGCTGAATCGATTTTTTTGTTCAGAAGTTTGTAGACAGCTGCATTTCTTCTGAAATCAAGGGTATTAATAGGGAGTCCCGCTTTCCTGCAGTAACAGCCACTATTCTTCTGGGAAGGCTGTTTTTACAACAAGTGGAACGTTGCTCTGAGGACATGATTGCATTCAGCCACAAGAAAGTTGATGTTGGATGATTAGTTCTGGATCAAAAACGCTACTCCAACTCATCTCTCATTCTGTTGGCGCTGCTTTTCTGTGGAGATTAGAATCGAGTTTATGCAAAAAGGGCTAGAATAAAAAATAAATTCAGACTAGAAAAGGGGTCCGAAGCACAACCAATGTTACAAAATGTTCCTCTGCACATTTCATGTAATTACACATTTCCACATATTTTGAGGTTTATAATATTAGCATGAGAACTAATTAAAAGTATGTTGTGATTTGATATGAGTGTTGGCTTAAAAGACACCAGTTTTTCAGAATTCAGCATAATGCGGTCATTAAGAACAGTCATTCAGAGCAGTTTGATGTGAAATGGTTCGTTGTAGAGAAACATACCAACTTTGCAAAACAATAGTGGCAAAATAATGGGAAATCTGAGGGAGAAAAATCGTGATGCTGTTTTGATTTACAACACCCTGGAGAAAACCCCTCAGCAAACCTGTGTTCTTCTAACCTACAGATCAAGAACTTCTATTAAAAACAATACATTCTGACTGCTTTTTACATCTGAGTTTTGTAATGCTTAAACGACTTTCTTCTCTCCACAGGTTTGCATATATTGAGTTTGCAGACAAGGAGTCTGTTCGGACAGCCATGGCGCTGGACGAGTCCTTATTCCGAGGGAGGCAGATAAAGGTAAATATGTGAACAAAGGAGGCGTTTTCTTTGAAAAACAGAAATTAACTTGAAAATGTGAGGCACTCTCAAAACCAATAAAGACTTTTTGATACATTATTGCTTTTACTGTCCATGATCCATGCTATATGAGAAAAGTCAGCATACAATTGCAGCATTGCTCCCAAGCAATTTTCACTCATTAACGTTTGAATCATAAGGTGAATGCCGCCTCTTAAAGCAGTAGTTCAGTATCTAATTTATCTAGGCCCCCCTCCCCACCTTACATCAAATGTAGTCGATCAGCCAAGCTATGTTTGATGTGTGAAGTTTGCTTCTGTAGTTTTAGTGCAGGAGCTACGAGGCTAAGCTCTGAGGAGTCTTGCCTGTGTGGTTTCTGACACTGACACACTGTCACATATAAACAGTGTGTTGCGTAGCTATAAAGAGCAGCAGTATCATAAAGCCTGAATTTTGTATGTTCTTTTGTCCCAGGTCGGGGCTAAGAGAACAAATCGGCCCGGAATCAGCACCACAGACCGCGGGTTCCCCCGGGCCCGTTTCCGCTCACGTGGAGGGAACTTCTCATCCCGGGCTCGATACTACAGCGGCTACACGCCCCCTAGAGGCAGAGGACGGGCCTTCAGGTGAGCGCTACAGCAGCCCGCACACTCATGACAGATGCACACAACACAAACATTAATCTAGCAGGGATGTAAAGAGGTTAGATTAGTCAAAAGCCAGCAGATGTTTGGTTCTGGCATGTCTAGTGTACATCCAGGGGTCTGTCCAAATATTTGCAAGTGGAAGGCTTGAATATTTAAGTAAAAAAAATCATGGGGCTTCTGTTTAAGGTCTAGAATTCGTGCTCTTATTTCTTGAGACCAACCATGGCATACAATAGACATGGGTACAGTTGAACCCATTATTTGCCAGATGTAAACTTTGGCTACTTTATTAGAAACCCCTTCCTTGCAGCTCCACCTTTCTGGTGTACAGTTAGGCTATAGCCCTTTCTGTTGATGGACAGAACAGAGTGTGCACTAATAAATGGGCTACAGTCTGTAACTGTAAAATAAAATATATGGTAGGTGTACAAATATACGGTAGGTGTTAAGTACAAATTTAACTTACAGCTTAATATGTACCACAAAAAAGCTTCTGTACTAATTTTGGAGATTGCAGTAATACATAGAGTAAAAATGTAGTTTTACTAAAGGGGATAATACAGAAAGTGATAACAGAAGATTTATTGTATTTTTACAGTACTGTGCAAAAGTTTTTGGCACCTGAGAAAATTAGACTTGAAGCTATTAAACATTTTTTTTTGCTTAGAAAGACACAAATATTAGAATAAACACAAATAACATTAAATACAATAAGTAGTGATGTATGTCGGTGTTTTCATTCAACCATTTCCAACTTTCTACTTGGAGCAGCCCTGTATTAATTGTGGATATCATTCAGTATCTGCTTTGGATAATCAGTACTTAAGTTAAATCAGGTCTGCTGCTGATGTCTTTAAACAGCCAGGCGAAATCAGGAACCACACTTTAATCTTCAACTAGTTCACAAAATATCATTTACTTTTCTTTACAATAAGTAATTCTTGTTACTTTTTACAGTATTTAGTTAGATTTGCATCTAATTACATACGTTGACAAGGTAAACACACTTACTGCCAAGATTAATGGTTTTAATCTACATGTTTGGGTGCCTAAGACTTAAGCACAAAACTGTATAGGCTAGTGATGTTAAGTCATCTGACCCACCCTAAAGAGAGCTACTTTTTTGATTCAGTACTACCTAGGTTGTAATCAATTGAGGCAATAGGTTTGTTTTAAAGGTTAGAAGCCACAAGGCTTGCAGAGCATTAGAATGCCAAACAGTCATGATAAGCTTGGTTAAGACCATAAGTGCTTTAGTTTTATAGTTGAATTTGCAACAAACCTGTCCAAGCTTTGCCCATAAATGCATTTGTTCTGAGCAGCTGTTGAAGGTTGAACAGCTGTGAACAGAAGTGATAGTGTTAGCAAATATCTGTTTAACCTAATTAGAAAATTAGTGTACAACTCAAATTAGACTGTTTTGAAGTCACTATTTAACATTGAAATTCCAGTTCAGACGCTACGCCACTGAACTGGACTGAGCAAATCCGAACTAGGTTGGAAACTGTTTTTAACATGTTACCTCAATTTTAGGTCAAAAAAAAAAATACAACTGTTCTGACCTCTAACAATGTGACTTTTTACACATTTTAATGTTTTTTTTATATAAACTGAGTCATGTTGTTCATGGTGTTCTACAGTTTCTCATTAGGTTGAATGAATAACTCACTCTAAATGTAGGTGTTGTGATATAAACTGAGTCTGTTCTACAGTTTCCCGTTAGGTTAAATGGGATATTTACCAGCGTTCTGTAAAGCTTCCAACCTCTCAACAGTAGCTACAAAACAGCGCGTTTGTGGGTGGAGCATGGACAGGTTACTTGGACAAATTGTTTGAAATTAGGCTATGGGCTTGCAATGACAGAATATGGGCATACAGTTACTCTTCAGTTACTTACAAAAGGCAAAGCATTTTCCATCCTGCATGAATGCCTGCAGAACACTCACTCATCCAAACATCTGCATTTGATTAGCATGCTTAAATTACAAAAAAGACGGTTATTTGTTAATGTTGATTTGCCGAGTAGCCCTGGAGTTTTAAGGTTTAAAGTTCTTCTTGTGGAACTTAGGAGTTTTGTTCTTTAAAAAGTAAACGGCTTAAGGATGGTGATAAAAGCTCAGGACATAGACATGTTATTTGTGGTGTCTTTCTCCAGTTAAATTAACGGTCTGTACAGGTGGTGATGGGTCAAGGCTGTCTGTCAATTTTGGTTTTAAATAAGGATGTTTTATTAATTTTGGACATGAAAAGGCTTCTAGCAGAATGGCAGCTCATGAATGAAGATGTCTAGCTCTAATCAACTTCATATTTATTTCCCTTTTCCACCTCTTCGGCAAATCTGGTATAGCTACTGCATTGCAGATGCATACATCGTGTAGGTAGTCTCATAACTAGGCTTGGGTGAATTTGGCAGTATTATCAATGTGAAGTCAGTGATCCTGCATGGTTTTCCTTTCAATAAACAAAAATTGGTTCAGAATGCTGCATAGTCTAGGACTAGGCTTGATCCTTGTCTAGGAAACCGACACTGGTATGTCTAGTTGCAACATTCCAGCTAGTATGTATGGGTTTTTTAGTTTTTTTTTTAATAGGTAGATACCATCATGTTTTCATAATGCTGCAGGTTTTTAATTGTATTGTTATAGAATGTTTAAGATTTGCACTGTTAGAAGTTTATGACCGTGTGTCGAATGCGGACTGGTTGTGTCTTCCCGTTAGATAGCAGATGTTAATCCCGTTTGGAAAAACAGACATCACCCAATCCTACTCTGAGCTAGCCTTCACTTCCAGAATGGAGGGTTCATTCCTGCAGCCTGATATTGACTTCAGTATCTAAACACTTTAGTGTGTAGTCTAAGCTGTGCCCTTATCAGCACATGCTTGGAGGGGGTGGGAATAGTGTGGGTTTTTTTGAGGGGGGTCGGGGTAGGGGGTGGTGGGGGGATGTGTGACTGTTCAGCTGTGTTTGTGGAATTCTGGCTGCTTGAATGGATGTCCTTGCATTTGCGTGCGCTCTGTGGCCAAGTCCTGTGGAGACTGCTTATTACTGGAGTGAATGTGAGCGTATGTTTGGTTGAGTATCTGTGTTTTGAAGGGGCAACTTGTCCCCAAAATCTCTCCCCTACAGTGACAACAGGAGGTGCCCTTACAGAGAGAGATAAAGAGGGAGAGAGGATGCCTTCACCGCAACACTTTATCTTTTTTTAACACTGGAATATTATATTAATGCACTTGAAGCTCCCTCAAGCTTCTCTTAAAGCTAAATTACCAGATTTACAATGCAAATTCTTAAAATTGAGATGGTATACATTATAATAACAAATAGCAAATTCTGTATACCTGAAACATGTATGCCATTTTTATTTGTATTATCTGTCTACCTGAGCCCCGTAGGTACATGCACATACACTATAATCTGAAAAAAACAAAATAAATAAATTTGGTGTCCATCTTCAACCAGGAAAAAGAAAACAAAAAAAACTCACCCTCTTTTTCTCTCTCTTTTCCAGGGGCCGAGGGCGATCAACATCGTGGTATTCCCCTTACTAATACCCCACACCCACCACCCCCCCACTCATTTCCCCCTTTTACTGTCACCCTCCCTGTCCCCATACAAAAAAGAAAATACTCCCCCTCCCCCTTCAATAAAAGAAGAAAAAAAGAAGAAAAAAGACAAAAAATGGAAAAGAGAGAGAGAAAAAAGAGAAAAGAGCATCTCGTGGACAGACAGACTGACTGGCCTCAGTGTGCGATTGTGTGTGCGTGCGTGTGCGGAGGTGTTGCAGTCACCCTGGTAAGGTACAGAAACGGTCCTTGGGGGAGTTTTGGAATTTGGTGGCATTTGTTTTGTTCAAAATTTGAGATGATGTTATCTCAGGCTGCAGATGTGTCTCCTTTGTCTGGCTGTGAGTTCCTCATACCAAAAGAAAAAAAAAAACACAGCCCACTCAATGTTTGCAAAAAGCTAGGAATATTTGTTTTCATTTTTTCTAATTGTACCGTGAATATGTGAAAGATCCAATAGCAAGTATGTTGTTTTTTGTTTTTTGTTTTTTTTCCCCAAGTGGTATTGGAGGTTCATATTGCTTTTTCTTTCTGCGCGCTTTCGAAAAGTTAATGCTCACTCCCATCCTCACATTTTTTGCACTCATCCCATTTCTTCTTTTTTTCCTTATTGTTTTTTTTTTTTTAATTGTAGGGATGCACGCTGATATCGGAATCATATCGGTATCGGCATCGGATGGATGTATAGATCTGACTGATATTTTAAACCGATATTTGATGTATTTATTGCACTAAAAGTCGGCATTTTATTCATTTTACTGCATTTCTGACAGAAATTAATGTTTTTTTCTGTAATGCTAATCTAGGTAGTCTAGATTTTATAAGCGTTTATTTATCAGCATTGGCAGATAAGTACATGGAAGAACATGGGCATCGGCCTGCAATTCCCATATCGGTGCATCCCTAATTTATAGCCCTGTGTTTTGCACCACTGTGACAGTGGCTTAGTTCAGAGTTTAATGAGTTTTTCTTTTTTCACCCTCATCCCTCCTTTCTACAACAGCATCCTCAGGCATGACCGGTTTCTTTTTTCCTTTCCTTATTTTTTTTTTTTCCCCCCCATTGTCTTCTGATTTTCTTTCCCTATCATCCTTTTTCTCTCGCTCTCTTTCTCTCTCTCCCCCTCTCTCTAGCGCTCTCTCTCTCTCTTTTCTCTCTCTCTCTCTCTCTCTCTCTCTCTCTCTCTCTCTCTCTGTCTCTCTCTCTGTATACTAGACCACTTCTTGTCGTTTCAGGTTTCAGGACCAGTGGAGGCTGACCACCCCTCCCCCCGTGGCCGCAGCACCCCCTACTGTCTCGGCAGCGTCTCTATCTCTCTCTGCTCCCGCTATACACACTCACCCCATCCTGTCTGTGTGGGGGGGCGGGGGAGGGGGGCAGGGAGACCACCGGCCCACTGCAGGCGGCATTTACTACAGTAGTAACAAGCGCTGAAGCTTTTACTCTCCTCCCCAACCCCCTTCACCCCACTGGCTGACATGCATCAGGCCCACACAAACACATACACACACACACTACACACCTCCACCACATATTTAAAATAGCGACAGCTAAAAGCCACGATAGCAGCAGCAGCTGGTTTAAAATTGCAAGGGAAGTGAGGCAGGAGCAGAGAGGGGTTATTAAGGGGGGTACAAAAAAAAACAAAACAAACACAAATGTTTAGGGGCCCCGAATTCTCAGCGCGCCGTGCAGCTTCGGCACGATTTGAGGACTGACATGTGGGCCACAGGAATCGGCTATTTAAAGAAGGAAGGGTGCAGAGCTTTTGTTGGGATGGAACGGGGGAGGTGTGGGGGGGGAGGGTTGTATGGAGAGGGATATTTTTTTTTCCCCTTTTTTATTTTTTATTTTTTTTCCCCTTTGGGCTTTTTTTCCTTTTTGTTTTGTTTTCTTTTTTTGAGAGGGGGAGTGGGTTTGGAGGGGGAAAAAAAGTTTTGCTTTTTTATTTTTATTTTTAACCCATGAGTCTGTAATTAGAAAAAAAAAAAATAAAAGACATTGTAAAAATTAAGTGTTGCGTACGTTTTATTTTTTCACCTTGGTGAAATTGATTACGTTTTCTAGTTTTTGAACACGTACATTGATTATGATAAATGATCAAAATGATTTGACAATTCAACTGTTAATTTTGGAATGTTGGTCAGTTATAATATAGAAACATTCTGCTGGCTTACTAGTGTCACGGTCTGTAGTCAAGCAAGTTTTACATTACAGTGAACTGAGGCTGTCGTCCCAAGATAAGCCCCTGCTCCAAAATTGATACCCTGAAGCTTGACTTGCAGCTGGCTGCATGGACAAAGAAAATGCCTTCTGGAGAAAAGTTTAATGGTCAGATGAGACAAAACCTGAGTTGTTTGGCCACAATGACCGGAGGTATGTTTGGAGGAGTAAAGGTGATGCATTAAATCTCAAGACCACTAACAGCTGTAGAGTATGGTGGTGGTAGCATCATGCTCTGGTGCTGTGAATTGAAGAAAGAAGGAAGACTACCACAGAACTCTAGCATAACCTCAAACTAAGCTAGATGGATGAAATCTGGACACAATTGGGTGTTTCAGCAGGACAGTTACCCCAAAGTCCTAACATCAACCCTATTGAAAATACATTATATGGACTGAAGTATTGGGACAGATACGTTATACCTACAGGAGTTTTTATGACATTCCATTCTAAATCTGTAGGCATTACTATGGAGTTGGTCCCCCTTTGCAGGTTCCACTCTTCTGGGAAGCTTTCTACAAGATCTTGAAGTGTGTCTGTGGGAAGAGCATTTGTGAGGTCAGACACTGATGTTGGCCTGGCTCGCTGTCTCCGTTCTAGATCATGTTCAGTGGGGTTGAGGTCAGGGCTCTGTGCGGGCCAGTCAGGTTCTTCCAAACCAAACTTGCCGGGCCATGCCTTTATGGACCTTGTGTTGTGCATTGGGGCTCAGTCATGCTGGAACAGAAAAGGCCCTTCCCCAACTGTTCCCACAAAGTTGGAAGTATACAATTGTCCAAAATGTCTTGGTATGCTGAAGCATTAAGATTTCCCTTCACTGGAACTAAGGGGTCTAGGCCAACCCCTGAAAAACAACCTGGGGTCTAGGCCAACCCCTGAAAAAAAGAACATTATCCCTCCTCCACCAAACTACAGTTTTCTCAATGCAGTCCTAGACTTGTCCATGGAAACCCATGCCATAAAGATCCCAATGCACAGTCTTTGTGCTGATGTTAATGCCAGGTTTGGAACTCCACAGTTATTGAGTCAGTAGAGCGTTGGTGACTTATGCACTATGTGCCTCAGCACTTGGTGACCCCGCTCTGTAACTTTACAATGTCTGACACTTCATGGCTGAGTTGCTGTGGTTCGTAAACGTTTCCACTTTTCAGTAATTCCACTCACAGTTGATCATCTAGGAGGGTAGAAATTCTCAAACTGACAATGGTGGCATCCTACAGTACCACGCTCAAATTCAGTGAGCGCTTTAGAACGATCCATTCTTTCACATTTATAAAGGCAGACTGCATGGCTAGGTGCTTTATTTTATACACCTGTGGCAATGGGACTGAATGAAACATCTGAATTCAATAATTAAGGTTATTATTGAGGTGTGTCCCAATACTTTTGTCCATATAGTGTATGTGGACTGTGCTTAAAAGTCAGGTCCTTGCCAGGAAATCAACTAATTTGATTGAACTGAAGGGCACGACGGACAAGGAAGGTAGACAGTCTCACACACAAAGCCGACCCTCCTCGGACACAATTCAATAAGCAACGAGTACTTCATCGTTGACCCGTGGCAGACTGCAAAACAGCAGAGGACACCCACATGCAAGTCCACAATGAATTGGGGTGGATGGAGCTAAATGGCTATAAACGATAAGTTAAAATAATTTTAACCACTTGTCCAGAACCTTCCTTTAAGTTTAGAAAGTAGAAGGATGTATTTCACCGAAAAAAGCCTAAAGCAGCTGAATTAGCTGATTAACTGTTTTTTCTTCCTAGCTCTCTTCACTTTGTAGCGAATGCTAGGTTGTACTGAAATAAACTGTAGTGTAGTGCCCGCACAGTCATAAGTGTAAGAGTCAATCATAGCTTACACCATGCTTCATGCTACCCCGTGTAACATGACAGTTCTTATAAGATTACACGCTACAGCCCATAAATATTTGGACAGTGCGTTTTTGGTGTTTTGTTTCTGCAAGCCTGTTGTGTTTTACATGAAGTATAAAATAAAATACAACAAAGTTAATACAATACCGAAACGCACGTGTAAAAAGTAAGTTTTCAGTCGATTTGAAAATGGTAACAGACGAGGCATTGCAAAAATTGAGAGGTAGCCTTAATCATCTTTACATAATCATAAACATCCTTACCATACATATAAACTTGTTCTAGGTTTCCCCTTTGAGTGCTGGTTCCTCTCAGTGGTTCTTTCTGATGCTTTACAGTGAGTTTTTTTTTCTCTCAAAGACGCTCATTATGATCAGACTATGTTACCACTGGAGGGCGCACTACTGAAGAACACAAACGGGCGCTGTTTATCAAGGACTTGCAGTAAACAAAAATGTCTTCGCTTCGGTCATCTATATTAAATAAAAAGATATTTTAAAACTGTTGAAAATTAGTGAAAAGTCTTTATGGGTTTTTTTTACTCATGCAATTATTCATAATAGCTATACTACATTGAAATTAACAGCAGCAAAATAGTCTAAAATAAAGTGAAATACAATCGAATATAAAAATAAAATATAAGAAATCATATCATGATGAAGGGATTTAAGTATGTTTTAAAGCTCCAGATATTTAAGGAAAGTGTTGCTCTTCTTATCATTTATCATTTATTACATTCCTATTTTAAACACAATTTTGGAATTAAATTTGATAATTGTTTTTTAGCAATAAAATGTTTTGCAGATAAAATATTTAAGAGAGGTATTAGAATTCACGTGGTAACAAAATATATCAGTCATTGTAAAGCTGTGACCCTGATTTACAGGAAAAAAGAGAAGCACCAGAAAAGATACAGTCAATACAAAACGAATTTTGAACTGTATCTCTCCTAGTCTTGCTGGGAATACAAAACTTGTCAGTCTTTATGGGGGACTGCGCTGCTGGAGGCGCATCACTGAAACAACGATGAAACGCACGAAACTAAACATTGCTTACAAGGGAAAGAGGGTTTTCAAAGCTTATGGAGTTAGAAAAGATTTAAAGCAAAGCCTTTATAGTTTAATATGCATTAAGTTTCTCATATCTCACACACGTAAGGACTTTTTTATTAAGCACAGTGCATCTTTATACGTAACTGCAATATAAGGTTTTACGTTATTGAAAGCATTACTGCTATTCGTCTTCAGGCTTTCCACCTATTTATTACATTAAGCAAGTAAGCAAGCCAACCTCTGATCCAGCAACTTCCTGTTAGATAACAATCCATTTCATTTCTATTATATTTGATGTTATTTTATTTTAAATGTTTAACAGACTTTTATTCTGAAGTGCCGCTGTGCAGTCTTGTGTTTCCTCAGCGCTGCTGGTGAGTCGGAGAAAAAATCAAATGTTTAACAAATTTTATATTTAAATAGTAACACTTTTAAGAAATACGACTTTTATATAATTAAAGTTTAATAATGCAGATTTTGGACAAAATTGAAGAGACAGTAAATTAGACAGTTAATTGTTTTTCGGGTTTAATCAGGGCCGTTACCAGCTAGTGTTAGCTGTTATGCTAAAGTATCAACACTAGAGATTGGACATCCTGGTTTTTCAAGAGTTTACTATTTATTTACTATTTAATAGTAAGTATTATTAGAGTGTGCGCAAAGAAGTGTTATCTGGGTTTCTTCTCCAGGCCTGTTAATATTGGTAGTACTTTGAAGATAAATAATGCTGCCTTGAAGTCCTGTCGGAAACATCAGAATTACGAGATGAATGCACATGAACGTCACCACAATGTCGTATTTACTAGTGGGAAACTCGGATTTTTCAGTGAACCCCGAGTTTCTGAGTTGGGGGCGTGTCAACTAAAACAATAATAGTCGCTGATAAACTGACTGTATTTCAGTTATTCATCAGCCATACCCTTAACACTGCAGGCTAAAACCATCCACACATGGATATACAAATATAAGCACGTTGTGATACATCTGACTGCATTAGAACATCACTCTTCTCATCAGCATCCTGTGCTCTTTACTTTGTTGCAGTAACGCAAAATACACAGACTCTCTTTGACAGCTAAACAAAAGTATATCTGAAATATTATTTCTAGTGTATCTATCTTACCTATCCAACCAAAACTACTTGAACACAAATCAGACTGTACTTACGGACCTGATTCCGAAGACTTGAAGGCAGAATAAGACCAGTGTTAAAGTGGAAATCCACCAACTTTTCAACATTTCTGCATGCTTGAGTCGTTGAGATGTAAATAAACCCATTCAGAGTGGTCTAAGGTGAAATGGTTCATTGCAGAGCAACGTAGCTGTTGGCTCAGGTTTCTTGATTCCTTTACAGTGGTGGTCACAGGAACCAGGAGTTGTGATGTCAACAACACAAATATAGCCATTTTATTTACTGTCCAAAATGACCAGTGAACCTACACATCTGTTCTTAGTTTTCTTATGTAATGTTAATCATGACAAAATGGTGGTAAATAGTGGGGACTATATTGCCTTAAAAGGCCTGCATGTACCTCTCCACCATAAATAGGTTTAACAAAAATACGTTTAAGGCCAAAACCCTCTGCCAGAACTATCATAAAACAATGTCTCAGACATCAGGATGCATATTTGTAACCATTTCATGTAATAACTTCCTGTGAGGGAGCTTTTAGAGGTGGACGTCCCGCTGTGAAGAGTTCTGACTCGGGAAGTTTTCTAGAATGGAGCATTTCACACCAAACCACTCTGAATGACCTTGTGTCCATCTTAGCCACTTAATTATGCAGAAATTTTGAAAAAATAGTGGAATTTTCCTTTAAGCTTTTAAGCCTCTCAGTCAAATTGCCTGTATCTAGATAACCTACTGTTACACAGTTACCTAACTTAGTCCTGGGGAATAATAATGGGTTAAATAAGTAATTTAATTTATGGAGTAGCAAGCGTTCCTGTGCTGTTTTCATCAGTGTTTTTTTCTCTGTACTGTTTTGCAGGAACTTCTCTCTCTCTCTCCAAGGAAGAATGGGTCTGTATTAAAATAAAAATAATGGAAAAAATGTATAGATATTTAAAAGTAGAATTATCTAAACATTTCTATGAGCCAAGTCAGCCTGCTAAGATGAAACATCAAGCCTGTTCGTTAACTTGTTAATGTCGATATCTGAAATTTTAAAATCATATGTTTGACTTGAAATGGTTTATTGTAGAGACTTGGATTTGTTTACAGTGGTGGTGATCAAAACTAGTCAACATTTCACATAGTGTACTGCCCTAAATCCACTAATCATGTTCTCTTTTTAATGAAACATGCGGTTCGTCAGTGTTCAGTAAGTGCTGATGATAACAACGGAATTCTCAGAAAAGCATCTTGTGTATCAGGATAATAAAATGTATCAAGATAATGATAAAATAGCACCTTATTGCCCAAGTCTAAGGTTGCGTATTTATAACCATTTGATGTAACAACTTTAACAACTTAATTATATAGAAATTTTGAAAACTTAATGGAATTCCCCTTTAAGACCAATTAGAACAAGCTGTGTCATACTAAATACAGTTATTGCTCATGAATGGATTTAGCAGGTGTGTCATGAATGTGTCCTGTGATTTATTTGGTCCTGCTTTTAAATCTTATGATTGAATCAATAATTAAGTAATTAGCACTATATCTGAATTGTGGTATGGATGTCTTGTGCAATATTTCTTCCAGATGGTGAAGAGAAGACATACGGTGGCTGTGAGGGCCCAGACGCTTTGTATGTAAAACTCATCTCTTCAGACGGGCATGAGTTTATAGTGAAGAGAGAACACGCTTTAACCTCTGGCACCATTAAAGCCATGCTGAGTGGGCCAGGTGAGTGTTCCTGCTACTGATGCGCTGATCCGACACACTGAATCACTGCACATGGCAGAATGTTTCTCAGTCATGGTCATTTTAAAGTTGTAGCTAATGAATTTTATAAACCTTCCAGGACAATATAATTTAAAACTTTGCGCAATCATAAAAAGAATGTTAGTGTATGATCGTCTCCACCTTCGTACTTTAGACTCTACATTATGTTTAGAGAAAGAAGCCCCTGTAAAAAGTGTCTCTTTACAGTAAAATTAAACTATTATCTATATGTAAAATCAGCAGAATTATGCATATACTAACACAAATAATAATAGATTGGAAATAGACTGGAACTGTAGCCAATTTTTGCCCACTGTCAGGGCAAGATTTCCCACTCCTTGACAGGGGAAATCTTGCATCAGTTTTCATCTGATTTCTTTGTTTGCCATTACTCTGAAGTGCAGCTCTTCTACTTTAAATTACAAATAAGATCAGTGTATGGCTTACAGATCACAAAAATCACAGTAAAATAGAAAATGTCAGCTCTTCAGTTATATAATTATTAAAGGATATATTAAGGGATCTATTATCAGAAATGGAATATAGTATATAAAAACCAGCTTTAAAATAGCTTTTCTTGTGCAACTTAATATAAATGCATACATCACTATTATCCAATGATATATCAACTGATCCAAGTTTCTGGGGGAAAATCTCAGGAATGCAGCGATCCAGCTGAAATTGCAGAACTGTTTGGACCACAGTCATTCAGTGAATGTGTCAAGATTAGGTTTGGCCAAATCATTTGATCAGGAGAGAAAATAAGAGGACTGCATCTTACTCTGGTGGGCTCCTTCCCCAAATTACCCCACATTTCTACTAAGAATCATTATTCATTGAGACGTAGCAGCTGCTGAAATGTTTTAACTGATGGTGCTGTTGTGTCTGTTGGCCAGAAACCATCGTTTAAAAAACCGCATATTTGGTTGTTGTGACGAAATATTCAAGAATAGGCCTGCAACAAACGACTAATTTGATAGTCAAATAATCGATTATTCGGATTATGAATCACTAGATTACCAAATAACTTTTATGTAGCTATTAGCTTTTAAATTTAGCTTGAGGTTGTTTTATGCATTTGCTAGCTAACAATCAAGACAAATATGAATAACATTCAATTATTTACTCTTTTAATGAACTTTCCTGCTAATATAAATGATAAAAAAACTCAAAAAACAATTTATTTTTCCTGTCAAAATTTATAACTTTATAATATAATATACTTTATAATATAAAGTAGCAGCAATACAATTTAACAAAACTAAATCAGTTTTCCTTTAATCAAGTAAATAAAAAATCTATCTAAATTTAAACTTTAAATTTAGACAGTGCACTCTGTACATTCTGCTGTCTGTCTACACTTTGCTGCAACTGAATTTTACAACACAGGTCTTTATTGAAACGGAGAAAAGTCAGTATCTCTCCGTGCCGCTGTGAGTCTCGCTCTCCTCTGATACTCCCCGCTGACGCGCTCTGATGGAGCGGATGGGAAAGTGGCGAATGTTTGTGGCAAACTTCTCTATGAACAGTTAAATGTCAACGATTTTGTGTAAACGCTTAATTTCAGCGGTAACCCTTTGTCCAGCTGCCCTGTATGGTCACAGACAACTACCTCCTTAAACTGTTAGCGAGTGGAGCTAAACGTTCGCGGAAAAGAGAGAACTTTGCCAACGCTCTCCGGTGTCCACCGAATCTGAGCGCACCGGCGGCCTCTGTGTTAAGACAACGATGCAGTGTTTAAAACTGTAAACGTTATATGGAAAGTGAACAGGGTCGCTGTGAATAATAGTTACTTGCTTCTCTGTTCCAACTCCATTAACGATTGCAGAAAACCTGCAATGCGAAATATAAAATGTTACAGCTCAGCTCAGAACATGAAGTAGGACAGAATTTAACATTAACATTAGCTAACCAGCTCGCTAGTACAACTATTGCCGCGTCCCAAACCACACACTTCTGTACTTCACATACTACGCTAATGAGTGCATTTCTAATGGTATAAGCGCTATTTTTACACACTATTTAGTGTGGTATTATGCGGTTTGGGACGCGGCGCATCTTACCGAGCTCAATCTTCTTCGTCCAGTGAGCCGAAGAGTTTCCTCTTCAGTAGCTCCACAATGGAGGATGAGCTCCCGTGCCAACCAGGGTCAGCTTTACAAAGAGCACAACTGACCACCTTTTTTCTGAGTTTAGCACTTTTGAGGATTTTGTTACTGAGGCAGCCATCGCGCTGTTGTTAAGTCTCCAGTGAGCGGTAATGTCAAAAGGTTCCTAATGAGCGCGAGAAAGACGCGTAATGACGTCATCACCTAATTGACTAGTAAATTAGTTGCCAACTAATTTGGTCGTCGATTTTAGTCGACTAAGTCGAATAATCGTTGCACCCCTATTCAAGAATAAACAAACAATGGCTACAAGTATTCAGTTTAATTCAGTTTAACTTGTACACATCATTCTCTTCTCTGCATATTTTTTTCATGGAATGGAAAAAGTCAGCAAACTGTCGTCGCATTTGCATGGCAGCAGGTTTATAGAGTGGTTCTGAACATGTTATCGTCAGTTTAAAGCAACTTACATATTAGTCATTTGTTACTAGGTGAGACATGACTTAAGGATTTGTGGTGCAACCAAACTTGATAAAAGGATTTCAAAATAACTAGTGTTAACTAAGGACTTAATAATGACTACACACACACTTAAGTACAAATTTACAAAAAATCGGTGCAACTCAGTTCATGTCTTGACTTTAAGATTCTGAAAGATGCCAGTGGGCATTGCATTGGCCTCCTCCACTGGCCTGTGAAACCACGTCTCAACAGGAGTGAATAAAATGAATGTCATGAATTGTAGGAACTGATTTAAGAAGTTAGGCCTGTTTAGATTTCAGCTGCATTATTAAGAAATTCAGTTTATTTATTTTAAAACCTGCCAAAATCATGACAAAGATTTTGTCCACTGCCAAAAAACTTTTCTTCCCTCCGAATCCAACCAAAATCTGCCCAGTTAGGTGGGAATCTGGCAACACTGGTTGATATCGGAAATGGTTTCAGGAGAAAAACAGCTCGCTTGGTCGTTAGGTTCTGTGCAGTTTTACAACAGAAAAACACAAACATTGACCCATAACAGTGTTTTACTTGACTTAATGTTTTTTTTTTTCTGCTTATAGGTCAGTTTGCAGAGAATGAAACAAATGAGATCAATTTCCGGGAGATCCCGTCGCACGTGCTCTCCAAAGTGTGCATGTACTTCACTTACAAAGTTCGCTACACAAACAGCTCCACAGAAATCCCAGAATTCCCCATCGCTCCTGAGATCGCGCTGGAACTGCTGATGGCTGCCAATTTTTTAGACTGTTAAACAGAATAATGCTCAGTTGTTCCATAGGACGTTTTAAATATATGCTTATTTAAATTGTTTGCAGTGAACTGCAGATTAAATAGTGAGTACAGAGTTTATCAGAATTGTTTGTTTGTTTGGTTTTGTACTGTGCTTATTTGAACAGAATGATTTGTTTGTAATAGAAAGACATTGCCTGATTGTGTATTCTAATTATGTGCTTTAGGAGTTTGTTTTAATGAATTTTAAAATGCTTTAATGCATTTATTATTCATTACTCATCACTTTATGGTTGTTTTATTATCCTTGTGTGGGTTTTTTGAAGCTGATTAAACATAAGGTGAAAAAAAAACTTTTTTGTTGTTTGGGTAATCTTCTGTACTGTAACATGAAGCTAAATAATAGTAAAATCAGTTTCCCACACAAAATTACTCCTCTTTATAAACATTATTATTGATACTCAGGATGTGATGCTCAGATAAATATCTGAATTCATTCTGAATAGTGATTACACACTGATTATAGTGTGCATCACCACAATGGGTAAATGAATGAACAATAAGTATATTACATCAAAAAATATAATCGCAACAATAATTATTATCATAATAATAAGAATGAAGGAAAAAGAGGACATATACAGGAGTATATATTATAATAATATAACAACATAATAACATCTCATATGTATTGTATCTACGCAAGTAAAGTACTATGCAAAAGTCAGACACTGCCTTCATTTATTTCACTTCCAGTCAAAACAGCCATTAAATTTAAGTTATTCATTTTTCAGCATCAGAGAAAAAGAAGTAAACTAATTTATCAGAAAACTACACAGAATTAATAAAGATTTTTTCCATGTTTAGTGCGTCCACTCTTCACCTTTATTACAGCTGTCATTCTTTTCAGGAGACCTGCTTTCACTTTTTCAAAGAAATCTGCAGGGTTATTTTTCTACACCTACAGAATTTAGTCTTAGCAGTTGCTTTGGCACGTTCTGCTTTACATCACCTTCCAAGTAATCCCAAATACATTTTACATGTTGATGTAACCTTCTCAGAAATATCTCCTGAAAATGAATAACTTGTACTTAGTGGCTGCATTGAATGAAAATTTGGTACAATATGCAAATAGACCCTATTATTATCAAATATACGCTACTGTATCAGAGTCAGGGGACCCTGTGTGTGTTTACGTGTGTGTGTGTGTGTGTGTGTGTGTGTGTGTGTGTGTGTGTGTGTGTGTGTGAGAGAGAGTGTGTGTGAGAGTGTGAGTGAGTGAGAGAGAGAGAGCGTTCAGTCCTGATGCTGGGGCCTCCATCATGGCGTCGATGCAGGTAAGCTGTATCAGTCAGTCTCACCTGTTCCCCTGTTTTGTTGTCTATTTTATACTCTTTGGATGAGGATTTTCGTGTCAGCTCCGCTGTTTAGTGCTTCGCTGTTTAATGCGTGTCTGACTGCAGAGCTTTATTAGCCACACAACTTATTACTAAGCTAACCTACCTAACTCTGCCCGCACTGCGCTGCCGGCACCTCCTTTAGCAAAATGGATTCGGTGATGGAGTTAATTTGTGTGATTTTAATTGCCCATAATCTGTGGTTAAATTATTTATTCCTGCTGTTTAATAAATGCTAACGCCGTGCTAGCTTAGCACGAAGCTGAAGTTGGCTTATTATCCCGCTCCACCTTAAATGGTGCTGCTGTTACGTTCTGGCGCCTCTGAGACACCAGTCTGTAACTGCTTCCATTTAAGGTGGAAAGGAAAATTCGAACATGAAGCCAACTTCAGCTTCGTTAGCTAGCTTAGCTCCGGTAACCTGCTGCAGTCTAACCGGGTCTGGGTTGCTGAGCTGAGCTGAGCTAAGCTAAGCTAAGCTACCTGCTGATTTGTCTTTACCCTGATTAACTCTCTCGGCTTTTCTCTTGTTTGGGTATTATTATGATTTTTTATTTCTGAATGTCTGTGCTGGCCTTCCTTCAGGTGTATAACATTACATTAAGCTCAAAACAGATTTATTTGTGTCAGTTTCTGTCTCAGCAGAATTAAAGTCCTCCAGCGTTTATACTCTCCAAACAGCAATAAATGGGTTCTGTATCTCGTAATATTAGCCGTTTTTGTGTCTCGTAATTTCAGCCGTTTTGACGTTTGGCGTTAAAACAGAAATCGAAAATTCTCTAAAACAACATTTATTAACAGAAATAAACCAGAAATATCAGGATCAGAGCTGTTGGAGAATTTGGACCCAGCTACAGTAGGATTATAAAAACTGAACAGTTAATTAGATTATATAAAAAAACATTGAGCTCTAACGGTCCTTCGAGCTATAATCTGTGTTTTTCCTACATTAATATTTCTGTGGCTATAAATCAGTGTCGTTTACTTGCTCAGCTATTGCTGCCAGCTGCTCCTTCTTAGTGATGAATTGTGAAACTCAGTTTTGCCTTATTTGTCTTTAGTTTGATTAAATTAACTAAATAAACACTGAATGACTAAATCATGCTGTTTTTTTTAATTATTAGAGTTTGTACGGTAAGTTATTGACACAGAACTACATAATATCATAATATCCTACAGGTCAAGTCTGTCATATATATTTCATATATTTGCTGAATTATGTAGAAATTTTTGAAAATGAGAAACGAAGTCATTCAGAGTGGTTTGATGTGAAATGGTTCATTGAAGAGACTCTTTTACAGTGGTGGTGACAGGAACCAGCGGTCGCAATGTCTACAACACAAATATAGCCATTTTATTTACTATCCAAAACCACCAGTGAACCTATACAAGTCTTCTGTGTTTTTATATGTAATTTTGATGATGGTTAAATCGTGGAAAATCTATAAAAATCAGTTTTGTGTGGGTCTATTTTGCCTAACAACATGCTGCATACACCCCACACCCTGAATGGATTTTAATACAGTTTAAGCCAGAACCTTCTCAAAACTATTGTAAAACAGTGTCTTAGAAATCAGGCAGCGTGTTCATAACCATTTCATGTAATAACTTTGTGAGGGAGCTTTTAGATGGTGGATGTCTGGGTCTTGTCACCACCACTGTGAACAATTCTGACTTGAGGACGGAACATTTCGTGTCAAACTCCTCTGAAAAAGGTCTTAAAGATTCAAATATGCAGGTATTTAGAAAACTCTCTAAAATTCCCCTTTCATATGGTCATGCTTCCATCACCAATATTTATTTCTATTGTGTGTCTGTCTGTTCATATTATTTTAGGTTGATAGAAATAAATTCATTAAAATATTTCTCATTCTTGTGAATATCATTCATTCTTTCACTGAATTCAATTTTAGCATCTGTGTTGTTCCTCAAATAACGCGTCTGTCTTTTTCCTCAACAGAAAAGGCTTCAGAAAGAACTGTTGGCCTTGCAGAACGATCCGCCTCCTGGAATGACTCTGAATGAAAAAAGTGTACAGAATACAATAACACAGTAAGTTGCAAGGAATGTCAAATATGAGGTGCCAGCCTGACAGCAAGCTGCTGAACTTGTTCATCCTGATGTGAGGGTTTCTTTTCGTCTTCCTTTCTAGTCAGTGTTTCAGAGGAAGCTGGATCCAACGCTCTCCAAAATATCATTGTTTACCAGCTCAGTATCATGTCAAAACTGCTCAAAGAAGGACAATTTAATCAATCAAGACACCTTGGATTATTTCTATAGTTTATTTTATAGCACAGGGTTAATACAACTTGGGGTTATTCCAATGGTTTGTTCATAGCACAGGAGCTACATATACAAGAAAATGTGTTTACCTGACCATACAAGTGACCAAGACATGTACTATACTGATTGGAATTAAAGAGAGCAGCACAGTTCAGTACACTAAATTACAATGAATATGCAGGACAACATAGACATATCAAGAGAGCCTATAATTCTGGGCTCTGTTACACAGTGATGATGAGGAAAAATGATAATCATTTGTTATGATGCTGTCTTTGTTGCTTTGCTGATGTTTTGTATTGATATATTCTGAACTCATTGCTGTTGTGTGTTTTGCAGGTGGATTGTAGATATGGAAGGAGCCTCTGGTACTCTTTATGAAGGAGAAAAATTTCAGCTGCTTTTCAAATTCAGTAGTCGATATCCCTTTGACTCGCCTCAGGTACAGTGTTGATTGTGATGTGAACTGTGGAGTACACACATTTTTTAGTCACTGTTTACAGTATCCCTTGTAAAAATGCCAGTCAGTACTGCCTACAACAAAAGTGGTTATAACTTCAGACCACTTAAACACTAACTGCATGTTTCATTACAAAGAGACCTTAATTAACTGTTAACTGTTTAAGGAAAACTAGTTAACTATTTAAGTACGATGGTTTCCTATAGCTCTAACGGTCCTTCGAGCTATAATCTGTGTTTTTCCTACATTAATATTTCTGTGGCTATAAATCAGTGTCGTTTACTTGCTCAGCTATTGCTGGCAGCTGCTCCTTCTTAGTGATGAATTGTGAAACTCAGTTTTGCCTTATTTGTCTTTAGTTTGATTAAATTAACTAAATAAACACTGAATGACTAAATCATGCTGTTTTTTAATTATTAGAGTTTGTACGGTAAGTTATTGACACAGAACTACATAATATAATATCCTACAGGTCAAGTCTGTCATATATATTTCATATATTTGCTGAATTATGTAGAAATTTTTGAAAATGAGAAACAAAGTCATTCAGAGTGGTTTGATGTGAAATTGTTCATTGAAGAGACTCTTTTAAAGTGGTGGTGACAGGAACCAGCGGTCGCAATGTCTACAACACAAATATAGCCATTTTATTTACTATCCAAAACCACCAGTGAACCTATACAAGTCTTCTGGGTTTTTATATGTAATTTTGATGATGGTTAAATCGTGGAAAATCTATAAAAATCAGTTTTCATCAAATCAATCAAATGCCAGTCAATGCTGCCTACAGCAAAAGTGGTTATAACTTCAGACCACTTAAACACTAACTGCATGTTTCATTACAAAGAGACCTTAATTAACTGTTAACTGTTTAAGGAAAACTAGTTAACTATTTAAGTACGATGGTTTCCTATAGCTGTGTTCAGTCTGAGGACTGAGGTCTGAGGCTACTTTTTTCAAACTAAATTACTTACTGACTTAATGACTTTTGTGTTTTTGTGTATCGCACAGAACGTGTTACGTATCATCACTGTCTCTGTCAGAAAAGAAAACTCCAGAACTCTTTCAGGAGAAGGAAGAAGGGAAAAATATGCAGAAGGGAAAAAATAAGTGAGAAAGAAAGGAAAGAAGGAAACAAGTGAACAAGACTGGTAGAAGGAAGGAAGTAAGATAAGAAAGAAAAGAAGATATATTTATATTTATAGTGTGTTCTCTATGTGTTCCTTTTAAAGTTAGAGTATGTGATAAGGTGAAGAGTTTGGCTCTTAAGCTCAGAGCTGTTGGGTGAAGTTAATGCAGTCTGTAGTGTTTGTGTGAAGAAGTGTTTGTGATTAGAGCTGAATTCCATGGTGTGGTATGATTTGATGAACAGGGTCCCTCTTGTGAGGATGGATCCATGCCAAATTCCCCATAGCTCCTGTCCTTGTTGTCCAAATCGGCTTCATTCTAATTACTTACTTATACTTACTATGCTTATTACTTATTATTACCTATTAAAGTGGTTTTCCCTCTTTACCCTCAGCTAGGACATGCTTGGTGTCTGAAGATCGTTTAGTTTGTAGTGAGCAGCACTGCCGCTTAGTAATGTCTTCCATGTTGGTCACACACTAGAGGGTGCGCCTGAGAGAGTCCAAAATGAGTGGGTTTTTTCATAGAGCTTTTGTGTATTTAAAAATCCTTCTTATACTGACAAATCCATCCAGTGTCTGTTTATACAACACTGTTGTCATATTTATGAGTTTTCTGAACAGTTAAAAGAGCACAAACCACTGTACTAAGCCAATGAGCTGATTACCTCACCAGCCAGTCAGCTCTCAGTAGCAGTAATGCTAACCAAATAGCATTCAGTAGCAGTAATGCTAGCCAATTGGCATTTAATAGCAGTAATTCCAACCATTTAGCATTGAGTAGCAGTAATGCTAGCCACTCAGCACTTAATAACAGCAACGCCAACCAATTAGCACTCTGTAGCAATAATTCAAACCAATTAGCACTCAGTAGCCGTAATACTAGCCGATTAGTACTCAGTAACAGTATTGCTAACCAGTCAGCACTCAGTAGCAGTAATGCTAAACAGTTAGCCCTCAGTAGCAGAAATGCTAACCCATCAGCACTTATTAGCAGCAGTTCTAACCAATTTGCACTCAGTAGCAGCAGTGCTAACCAATTAGAACTCAGACCTCAGTAGCAGTTGCTGCCGAAAAAGTATAATTTAATATATTATTTTATGTAATACATTCTTCTGCTTTCCAAAATGAAATTTTAGCTGTTTACCTCCATTTACTCCCATTCACTGAAGACTTATTCACAGCGTTGTCTAGTGTTGCCCAGTGATGTTCTTGAATAGCTAATGATTTGCGAAAGTGGTCATGGCTTCCCTTAAACTGGCTCTGCTATGAGGCTAATGTAAGAAATGGAAATGTATACTCCACCAGATAGCGTTGTGCAAACTGCAGGCATGGTTTCTTCTAGCTCCACTGACAGAGAAGGGTGAGGTTTGAGAAGATGAATGGAAACTTCAAACTTCAGATGCCAAACATCTTGTAGCTAATTGGCTACATTTTATACTGAATTATCACTTGAAGGTACAACCTTGAGAGCTTTTATCCTTTAACATCATCCGCTGCAGATTTAATTCTAGTGTTTATGTTTGTCACAGCAGGATAGAGAAATTCTAATAACTCTGTGCTCTTGTCTGTGTTTTTGAGCAGGTAATGTTCACAGGAGATAACATACCCATCCATCCTCATGTTTATAGCAACGGCCACATCTGCCTGTCCATTTTAACAGAGGACTGGTCACCAGCGCTCTCAGTGCAGTCAGTCTGTCTTAGCATTATTAGCATGCTCTCCAGCTGCAAAGACAAGGTGAGCAGACCTACATTTGTGGCAGCAGGAGAGACCAATTACTGGTGTTAATAATATATATATATATATATATATATATATATATATATATGAAAAGTCCAGCTGCCCTTTACATTATGTGTAAATTTAATGATGAATAGACCAATTGAAATGTGTTGAGGACGAGAAGTGCCAAAATATTTAATTAACATATAAAAACGGAAAGAAATAGATGAGTATCAGAAAAAGTAAAACACTATTTACAGTAAAAATACACTGTAAATGAATGAATATATGATTTATTTCTTTATGTATTTATTTAATTCTATATGTATTTATTAAGTTATGTATTAATTTATTTCTATTTTATTTCATTTACTTCCTCCACTACACTTATAAAATAGTGAATGCTAAGGATCTGAGCTGAGTATCTTTGCAGTTACGCTTGATACTTGACGAATAACAAGTTCAGGACGTTGCCCACCAGCTTTAGCATGTGTCTGTGTTGCAAATAAACATAAATTCAGTAAAAAGTAACAAGAATTTCTTTTATAAAAAAAAGTAGTTGATATCTTGTGAACTAGTTTGAAGTACAAAGTTTAGTTCCATTTTTTCCTGGGTGCTTCCAGACATCACATAGATTAATTCAATCTTGGTAGAACCCAAGATTGTAATACTTTTACAATAATGTAATGTAATAAAAAATTGCTTGATCAAAATTAACTTGATCAAAAATGTAACCCAACAATGTAGTAACTTGCCCAATAATTTAATACAGTGCCTTAGCTGATAATGTAACAGTACTTTTACAGATAATGTAATACTTTATTATAGAGGTGGGCCATATGGCAAAATATCACAGTGCTATATCATAATGTCACAATACCAAATTGCCCACCCCTACTTTTTTACAAATGTTATATCACAATATTTTAAGATGTTTTCACGATTCACAAGATCCATTACAATAATTAGTTTTTCTGAGATTGATAAGTTATAAACAGACAAAATAAAACCTGTAACACCACGTATAAAAATACTGTAATACTATTATGGAATAATAATAATAATAGTAATAATAATAATAATAATAATAATAATCCTACACGTACAATAATTTTTATTCAATGTTTTACAAACTGCACTGCACTATATCCAATTGAATAGACCTAATTATGCTCACTTTGTAATAAAGTTAGTTAGTCTGTGTTCGTTAAGTATTGATGATATCCACAATATGCTCAGAAAAGCTTATTGGGAATTTTATTACATTTTCAAGCTGACTACATGTAATACCTTATTACAATATTGGATGTGTGTCAAATATGTTTTCAAAATGTATGATGTAATACTTTTAAGAGAAGTTAACAAAGTCTTATGAAAATTAGATGAAAAAATGTATATTTATGATAGGGAAACACAATAAATCAGTCAAATTTGACCAGAACACAACCAGATGGCTAACAGCCATACCTTCTCTTCTTCTCAATAATGAAATAAGATATTAAATTATCGGTACGTTACTAGATTCTACACTCTTTTCAGTGATGAATGGTGTAGAAGGGGCTGATAAACTGCAGTAACAGATGGGCTGCAGTCTGTAACTGTACATTTTCAAAGCACACTCTGTGTGTATTACTGTATTTATTTATGAGTACATGTATTTTTTTATTGCAGAGGCGGCCTCCTGATAACTCCTTTTATGTACGGACATGTAATAAAAATCCAAAGAAGACAAAATGGTGGTATCATGGTGAGAATATTGGTTTTGAATATGAATAATGCAGTATATGTAATTAACAGATGAGCTTTGTAAATGATTTGTTTGCACTGTTCTTTTTGCAGATGATACATGTTAATATTAAACTTTGTAATACACTTAGAAGAAAGAAGTCCTCCTGACAAAAATAAGCACTTTTTTAATCATTAAGTCTTTGGACTCTGGACCCTGAACTGGAAAATATGGACTGCAGATGATCCGGAAGATCTGACCTGTTATGAGAAGGACAGTCAGATGCAGAGTGCAGATTTGCAAAGGTTAGAATAATGATGTTGCAAATAAGCAATGGAAATACACATAAATGGGATTGATTTCAGCAGGAAGTCGTTTCATGCAGTGAGTCTTTTCTTTCTGGGGGGATAGTGAGGTTATTCCTTTTTAAATCTATGTATTATTGTATGGTTTCACTTTGTTTTATGTATTGATTATGTGTCTGTTGTGCAATACTGATGGAAATCCAAATCATGTGGATTGTCTGGAAGAGATTTTAGCTTTAAAGGGGAATTCCATCCATTTTTTTAAAGTGTCTGCATAATTCAGTGGTTAAGATGTAAACAAAGTTATTCAGAATAGTTGAGTGGTCCGTTGTAGAGACTCAGATTTCTTTACAGTGGTGGTGATAGGAACTATATGTCTACAAGACATACAAAGCCATTTTATTTACTGTCCAAAACCCCAAGTGAACCTACACGTGTCTTCTGAATTTTTGCATGTAATGTTGATGATGGTAAAATAGTGGTAAATCCATAATAAGTTTTCTTTGGGGCCCGGTTTGCTTCTCAATGCCCTTCATGTACTCTTCCAACAGTCCTGACTATACAAGTTTCTTTATAATTGAGCATTTCACACCAAACCACTCTGAAAGACTTTGTTTACATCTTATTCATTTATTTATGCAAAAATTTTTAAGATTTTGTGGAATTCCCCTTTAAAATCTAGAGGATGTGCTGCATCTCTGTTCATTTGTTTATTTTTGTTACTTGTTCCCAAATTCAGTTTTTATGCACTGTAAGGTGGTGTATACCATCTTAAAGGTACAGAATAATTATTGTAAACATTGCTTGCCACTTTAAGTTAGTAGGGTTTGTGTTGCTCTGCTGTCTCTGCTGTATTTTGTTATTCAACAATAGCCTCTTTTTCCTTGCATTACTTTGACGAAACGTTTTAGTAATTGGTCTAAATATTTGACATCAATTGTCAAACCAAGAGCTGAACTGATTTTAAAAAGCATCTGTCTGCAGTCATATGCACTGAGCTATAATGGATGAAATCATTATTGTGATGAATGCGGGCAAAACATCTGTGTTGCTGTTTTATTTATGTGTTTTATATTGAAAATACAATATTGTCTTTGTTTTTAAGTGTTTAAAGGGTTTTTAGAAGGTTTGAAAGTGCATATTTCCATATCATTCTAGCTGGTGTAATTAACGGTTCTAGTGTTGGTTCCCCTGGTCACTCTCTTCTGCCTCAGGTACTTTTTTCCAAGAAGATATCACCTTCCTACAGAAATTTTACATTTTATGATATTTTCTCCTGAAGGACTGTTACATATTTAAAAAAACAAAAAAACAAAACAAAAACAAGATGTGTATGCCTAAATTGTATGTGTATTGCTCTTTTGAATTGCAAGTTAATTTCAGCAGCATGGTCCTCTTGTAGATTAAGTAAATAATGTTACCACGGAGCACAAATTTGATTATTTTGCCATTTTTTTGCACTTTTTGCAAATGAGCAGAAGAATTTGAAAGCTGGAGTTTTTCTAAACGCTCTTGCTCATGCATCCAGAGAAGTTAAGCTGATGGGCTGCTGCTGTGGCAGTCAGATATGTACAAATGTGTATGTGTTTGGTTGGTTGGTTGGTGGGCTTCCACAATGTTTCTGATAATGTCACTCACTCCAAAGATGTATTTTGTTGCCATTTGTTCAGAAATACTTGAATATTTCATTCTTAGTTCATTTGTCTTGTTTTCTCTTTGTGAGTCGGGGGGTGTGTGTGTGAGTGTGTGTGGGAGGGGGTACCCGGGGTAAGGTGTGGAGGAAGATTTTGAAGTTTATTTATAGCTAATCCAAAATAGTGTGTGTGTATGTGTGTGTGTATGTGTGTGTGTATACATACATGCGTGTGTGTGTGTATATACATACATACGTGTGTGTGTGTATATACATACATATGTATGTGTGTGTGTGTGTGTGTGTGTGTGTGTGTGTTTATGAAGAAGGAATAAACACCTTATGATGTAATGTAAGTTAAATAATTTTTCAAATTATGTACATTATTATATCACATATTGGACACAAAACCCAGCATATAATGTAGTCTGTGCAAAAGTTTAAAATGTTATGGCACATTCTATATTTTAAGTTTTATTTTTTTCCAAATATGTAAAACTCAGTGAATAAATAGAAATTGTGTACAAAAATTTGCAGAGAAATACCATAATTAAGATTGTTCCTTGTAGAGGATGTGTGAACATATTTGCACCAAAAATAAGAAAGTGAATTGACTGGGGATGTTTAAATTTTGCATGAAACTGTATGACGATTCTTTTTATTTGATGTTATTTTTGTGGTAAATGAGGTTTTTGGAATTAAAATCTTCATTTAAGCACACATACACGCACATATATGCCTATTGGTTAAAATAATGAAAACTGGTTTCCATTGAATTAATCTCTTTCTCCAAATGAATAAATAAACAAATAGTAAAATATAAACAAAGTCAATAGAGCTGGAGAAAGACGCAACCTAACCGAATGTATTTTCTCTGAGTTTTGCAGTTGAGATTCTGACCTGAAGAAATATTTAGCTGTTTATTATCAAATGTCCAGTCAGTAGCCAGGCTGGTCATAGCAGGTTATAGGGACTTTAATTCTGTTTTTCATGTGCCGGAACGGCCGCTGTGCAGAGCAGGAAGTCGGACTGTACCATTGTACATAAAACAGAAGGGGGTTCTATATTGAGCTGAACACAAATACTGTCTATTCTGAGACAAAGTGGGTTTACAACTAAATTAAATCCCTATTCAATCACATCAAACATCAGCAGTGATCAATATGTTTTCACCATAAACGCTATGGAGAGAGCAGAGATGTGTTTATGTAGTGGTTCGGTCCGTGTCATCAGTTCTCTTTAGTGTTTGCCGATGTTGGAGGTGTGAGTGGGTCTGGCTGTGGAAAAAAGGTAAAATATCATATTAAAATGGGTAAATGTTTCATGTTGGAGCTGTGCACCGGTTTGCATGTGGATCTGCAGGGGTTTTGTAGCGGCTGTTTTTGCTTGTGGCGCTCCTGAGTTATGGCCTGTGGAAGTGTTTGTGTGTCTGAGATGCGGAGGGGCAGTTTGGAGCTTCAGCCATGATGATGTGAGCTCAGGGCCAGTCAGAATGAAGAACAGGCTGGATTTGTTTGATTTTTTTTTTAACTGAAATAAAACATTGCCGAGCTCCTGCATTCTCAGAACCGGCTATGGAGCTCCAGAGAGCGGCGAGAGGACCAGCAGCGAAGCTGAAGTGGGCTCCTTATTTAATTTTCCGTTCCACCTTAAATAGTGCAGCAGCTACATTAGGCGGTTATAGGCGCCAGAATGTAACTGCTGTGCCTTTTAAGGTGGAACGAAAGAATCCTAAAAAAAGAGCTCTGTGAGCCAGCAGCAGGCCGCCAAATAAACTGCTACTATAATATCGATTTATCACACGTTTGCACCATTTTATCACTTGCTACTTTGTATTTGTTACCTCCGGAGGTAATGTTGTATGATTTCGTGGTCAACTGACCGTTAAAGCTTAATAAACAAACTCAGGTTTATGTCTGAATGTTAATAAATATTCATGCAACTCTATACTTGCCGCAAAAATGTGGTCAATTAAGAGTGCTATGAACTTATGAACTTATAACGGAGTCCTTTTTATGGTTATGTAGAACAGTTTTTAAAGGTTCTTTAAAGAACCATGTACAGGTTTTCAAACCTGTAGAAGAACCACTTATTCATTCAAGTAGTTATTTGAGTTGTCACTGCCTTTGATAAGGAACCCTCCACTTTATTAAAGGGTGTAATATAAATTTCAAATAATTTATCAGCATTCAGCATCATTTTATAAATTGCTGCAGTGATTTACTGTCTTTAAAGGGCACATATTCCACTTTTCTTGTATTATATATTTTTCCCTGAAGTCCCATTATGTTTGTTTTTTTTGTGTTAAGAGCAGTCATAATTCATTTGAAAATTTCCATTTTCCAATCCCTCTTTATCCTCTAGTATTCCCCACTGTACCTTTAAGACCGATATTTAAATGAGCCCTGTTCTAATTGGCTGCTTTGTGTTGCGCTTCATTCAGAAACCACTCCATGCAGAAACACTTTTGTTTGAATTCATTGTGAATGGGCAGGGCAAAAATGACTGTAGGGACTGGGGAGTGACCTGTATGTTTGTTTACATACTACAACAGTGGTCTCCAACCCAGTCCTTGAGAGCCACCTTCCTGCAGAACCTAGTTCCAACCACAATTTGCCACACCTGCTCCAGCTTATCAGCCTATTCCCAAGTCCCGGATTGGCTGGATCAGATGTGTCGGTGTTCAGTAAGGGGTGGGGAAGCTTATTTGATACAGGTGGGAACTAAACTGTGCAGGAAGGTAGCTCTCCAGGATCAGGATTGGAGACCACTGTACTACAACAAACTCTTATTTCAAAAAGTAACACATACAGAAACTTCGAGATATGGACTTTTGCATTGTTGAGATCGTAGCATAATTGATAAGGCAGCAGTATACAAAGGAGTTTTTCACAAATGACAGCTTTTTAAATTGTGTGTCATGCTCATTTTGGCCAATCCCAGTTTCAGATGAGGCCAGTTTCACAACAATGATTGACACATGATATATCGTGCATCCCCAATGTCTCAATTGTCCTCAATCGGTCATTAAAAACCCAAAATGAAAACCTGGAATGGTAGACTAACTCAGCAGCTGCTGATCCAAAATCGATAAATGCAGTTGAGTTGTATGAGTTGTGGTAGAGCTGCGTTATGGATGCAGTGTTTATGTATTTAATACATTTACAAGAGGGGGACCTTTACTTTCCTGACCAAAAAGACCCACTGTACTACATGCCCCATATCCCGTGTGCTTATTAACCAGAAAAAAATGAACCGTTTGTATTTGAAAGCAGCTCTTCTTTTTCAAAACGAGTTTACTGCAGGGCCGTTTATTGCTGTATACCCCCCCCCCTAATCAGAAAAGTTGGGACAGTATGTTAAAATTAAAACTGAAAACTAAAACTGTCATTTGTGAATTATTTTTAAAATGCACCACACATTCTCTGTAGGGCACAGGTCAGCACTGCAGGCAGGCCAGTCCAGCACCCGCAACCTCTCCTTCCGCAGCAATGCTTTTGTAATGTGTGCAGAATGTGGTTTTGCGTTGTCTTGTAGAAATATGTATTGTACGTCCCTGGAAAAGATGTTGTCCTGAGGGCAGCACATGTTGCTTCAAAATCTCTGTGTACATTTTGGCATTAATGGTGCCATCGCAGAAGTGTAAGTCACCTTTGCCAACCCCCATACCATGACAGACCCTGGCTTTCTGACTTGTTTCTGGTAAGAGCCTGCATGGTTCTTTTCGTCTTCAGTTTGGAGCACTCGGCGTCCATTTCTTCCAGAAAAGACCTAAAATACTGATACTGACCACAATAAACATTTCTGCTCTGTGATGGTCCATTCCAAATGCCTCCAAGCCTGGAGATGTCGACGGCTCTTCTTGACACAATCAACATAAGGCTTCCTTTTGGCACAGCAAAGTTTTAACTGACATTTGTGGATGTAACTATGTGATGTAGTGCTTGACAAGGGTTTGCCAAAGTAATCCTGAACCTGTATGGTTATGTCGCTTATAGATGATTGGCGGTTCTTGATGCAGTGCCATCTGAGAAATTGGAGAGCACAGTTATTCAGCTAAGGCTGGGCTTTTGCCCTTTTACACACTGAAGTTCCTCCAGATTCCTTGAATCTTTTAATTATGTTATGCACCGTAGAGGATGAAATATCCAAATTCCTTCCTATCTTTTTTGAGTAGCATTGCTTTTAAACATTTCAATAATTTTCCCACACATTTGTTGACAAACTAGCGATCCTCTGCCCATTTATGCTCCTAGGCCTTTCCTGGATGCTGCTTTTGTACCAAATCATTTTCTGTTTGTTTGCTTTTGTACCAAATCATGATTACAGTCATCTGTTTCAAATTACATCATCATTTAATTATTTTTCCTCATTACTAGCCCTAAACTGCCCTGTCCCAGCTTTTTTTTTTTTTTGGAATGTGTTGCAGGTCTGACTGGCTGGAATGAATGTATGTTTGCAAATGAAATGAAGTTGACCGTCAAAACAAACATGAAATATCTTGTGTTTATACTGTCTGCAGTGAAATACAAAACAAAGTAAATTTTAGAAATCACTGCTTTCTTTTTTAATTAGCATTTTTCATATGGTCCCAACTGTAGCAAAATATATAATGATAAATGTTATAAGCAGTTGTTTAGGGCCACCAGGGGTCCCTGCAAGAAGGCAGTTTTTCTGTCTTTATCGTGTGGCGATAACAAACTAATTTAGTTGGATCTGCTTGTTTGTTTTCTTGATCCCACTGTTAAAGCTTGTTGTAGTGAAAGGTTATTGGCTATCCTCCACAGATGTATATCCATACGCATTATGGATATACAACTGAGAGCAGTGTTTAAGAAAATGTTTGACTTTTTTGTGTAAAATGGACCTGATAAAATCAAAAACAATTTACAAAAAAATAATGCATGCAAGGTCATTTTGGGGTCTGTCGCTTTGAGGCAACATTACTCAACAATAAAAAGGAATTCTGCGGAGCGTTATATAGGAAACTAGATATTTTAACCTAAATATTTGGAACAAAACAGAGTAAATACACAACTTATGCATCTTGACACACTTTAAATGCTAAAAAACACGCTATTCCATGCGGTTTTCAAAGAACTGTTTACATGTTTATCTTTTAGAGTAATGTTTGTTTTCTTGAAAAGTAAAACCAAAGAGTTTGCTAAACTTTACAGTACTGAAACAACACTGAACAACAGCTTGCTTCATTAACAAGAGAACATAATAAACCCTGTTTATTTGCATTTGATGCAGCATAGTATGTGAAGTGTTGGCTATAGATCAAGAGTTACATGACTATTTTTAAATGTGCCACTACTAGTGCATTTTTTGTGTGTCAAGTTGATGTGATGCTTATCGTGTATTGTTAAAGTAGACAGCGCTTTTGTGTTAAAGGAATTCACAGTCTTCTGTATAATTAGTTGGGTAAGATGAAACAAAGTCATTCAGAGTGGTTTGGTGTAAAATGTTCTGTTCTAAAGAATTGTTCACAGTGGTGATGATAGGAACCAGATGTCCTCTAAAAGTCCCCTCACAGAAAGTTACTGCATGAAATGGTTATGAACATGCTGCCTGACATCTGAGACGTTATTTTACAATAGTTTTGCCTTAACGTTTTTTTAAAGTAGATGAAGGATAGAGAGGTACATGCAGGGTTTTTTTTTCCCCCCCCAAGATTTTCCACAATTTTTCCATTATCAACATTACATATAAAACCTCAGAAGACACGTGTCGGTCCACTGGTGGTTTCGGATAGTAATAAAATGGTTATATTTGTGTTGTAGACATCACGACCCCTGGTTGCTGTCACCACCACTGTAAAGAAATGACTCTCTACAGTGGACCATTTCACATCAGACCACTCTGAATGACTTTGTTTATGTCTCAACCACTGAATTTTGCAGACATTTGAAAAATTATTGGAATTCCCCTTTAAAGTTAGCAGATAAATCTCTCTGATAATAGACAGAAGGCGGGCTTGTGCGACTGGGGGCTAAGTGGCTTGTGTCAATGATGAGGTATTTGTTAACTCATGTTCATTTGCTAATGATAAGTTTTGTTGTAGACTACATGAAACGCCTCTGGGTCGAATGGTAAAATGTATCTTTTGCAGTTCGACTGTAATAAGTGCTCCTCTGGCATTTTTACTGTCGTTTATTCAACATGTAATTTAAGTGACTAGTAGAATCTTTTTTATGTATGTAGCAGGTTCAGTGCTACATTTTTATGTTAGCTAAGTAGTTTTTATTTATTTGTTTTGCATAAAAAAAAATAGATCCTGTTATTTAGGGCACCCCAAGTAGGATGTTCAGAAACAGTCCTGGCCGACTGACAACATTGTAGAGGCTCTGCTGGTCCAGATGATGTTGCTTCCTGGAAATCAGGGCTAATAAAACAGTCCTGGACTGGAGTTATTTTTCTCAGTCTAATGGAAAAAACAAAGTCCTTGGAAGCCAGTGTGACAGTGCTCCATCAGATGGCAAGAGTAAAAAAACTGCCACAGGCTGCAGTTTTTTGAGCTAGAATCACAAAACCTTACAGCATCACTGAGCCTTCACTCTTAAAAAGATGGTTCTTTAGGTAAAGAAAATGGTTCTGTATAGAACCATGAATGCTCAAAGAATCTTTTGCATGATCAAAAGGTTCTTTGCATCCTGAAAGGGTTTTTCAGACTGATGGCGAATAACAGCAATATAGAACCATCTACAGCACATTCTTCATAACATAAAATATACAAAATTAAAGTAACTATTTCATTAGAACCAAAGAAAAAAGACAGTAATCAGATTACAGCTGCATTATAAAAGTTGAGTGATTACAAGCAAGATTACATTAAAACCACTTTTTTTCCTCTGCAATACTTTGTATGATCTAAACCTTTGTTACTTTAAAAGCAGATTTTTTTTTTTTGGCTGTCGTTGTTTTGCTAATGCTAAGTTCCTCTAGTGGAGACTTTAGATCCAGCACATTGGGCTCTAATGTTTGGATACAGTGCTGTGAAAGAGTATTTGCCTCCTCCCAATTTCTTCTATTTTTGCATGTTTGTCACACTTGAATGTTTCAGGTCATCAAACTGCTTTTACTATTAGACAAATATAACCCAAGTAAACACAAAATGCTGTTATTAAATTATGACTTCATTTATTGAAGCAAAAATGCTGGTCAGCCCTACCTGGCCCTATGTGAAAAAGTAATTGCCCCTCCCCCCTTAAGATACTAAATCAACCAGTTAACCAAATTCAATTCAATTCAGCTGGGTTCAGTTTCACTAGTGACACCCAGGCATGATTACTGCTGACCTGTTGAATCTAAACATCATTTAAATAGAGCCTGTCTGGCAGTGAGAAGCTGGCTAGAATGTCTCAAAAAGCAGCACAAGATGCCACAATCTAAAGAGCTTCAAATACAGATGCGAAACAATTTTCTGCTCTAAATCAGAAAATCCTGAAGGAGAATATCTGCCTGTCAGTTTAGTGCAGCTGGATTATGCAGCAGGACAATGATCCAAAGCACGCGAGTCCAACTCTGAATGGCTCAAAAGAAACAAAATTATGGTTTGGAGTGGCCAAGTCAAAGTCCTTGAATCTCATTGAGATGCTGTGGCAAGACCATAAACAGGCAGTTCATGCGTGAAACCTCTCCAGTGTAGTCAAATTAATACAATTCTGCAAGGATCGGTGAGCCAAAATTCCTCCACAGCGATGTAAAAGATTCATTGCAAGTTATTGCAAATGTTTGATAACAGTTGTTGCTGCCAGGGGTCACTGCCAGCATTTAAATGTGACAGTTTAGCTAAAATAGAAGAAATCAAGTGAGGGGCAAATCATTTTTCACAGCACTGTATCCTCCTGAAGCCCTTTAATTCGTAGATCATGTGTGTTAGATTAGAGGTGGAGCTAAACTCTGTGTGGTAGATCTGTAGGACCAGAATTGGGCACTCGCATTGTAAGACAAACACACAGCATTATTCTTTACTTTGTATGTAGCAGCTTTAGTAAATATTACAACTTAAGGTCCACTTTTAGTGAAGAAGCCAGTTTCCCCTCTTTCAGTAATGCACACAAAACCTTTTGTGGAGAGTTTTTGGTGGAGGTTTTTTAGTCATATCTGAGTTGTCCTAAAAGATTGGTCACCAGCCCTTCTCCTGGAACTCCACTACAGAGTTTAGTTCTAACCTGTATCTAAAACGCTGCCCTGTCCCCTCACTTAACACTAAAGCATCTGATACAGCCAATCAGGGACTGGAGAAGAGGATATTACCCGGCAGTTTGTGGTTGAAACTAGACTCTGCAGGAAGGTAGATCTCTAGGACCAGGGTTAGTGAGCACTGCCCCAAAGAATAACTCATTACTTACGCTGTTATACGCTGTTAAATTTGTTATATGTTAACATATGTTGCTTCACTTAGATTTGACCATTTCACTTAACTTTGCTCTGTCTTAAGTTAAAGAAAACTTGTTAAAATCTTGTCTTTATTGAATTATGTGACTTTAACCTAGAATTCTAGAAATTCTGTGGATTGTGGATTTTGTGGATTCCTAACAGTTTTCAGAGTTTAAGGCTGTTGATCACTGTTTTAAACAAAGCGGTTTAATCACAAAACCAGGTAAAAATGACAGTTACAAGTTGAGTTTATTTTAAAGGTATTATTTCTTTAATATGAAAACAAAACCAAGGGATAGAAATCAACACAGAGATATCAGTTAAGGCCAGAAGAGGAAATAGACATTGAAGCTGTAATAGACGTTCTAATTATAGTATTAAAAATACATAATAAAAAATAAGAATACCTTGAAATAAAGAACAGGAATATGAAACGAGCCGACTACAACAAATAATTAAGTTCTTCACTGTTATTTCCATGCGATGGATGTGATTAAAATCATCATGTCGCTGCCGCATGCTAGAGGCTGGTAATTAGTCTAAGAAATCTCTCCAGCTACAATTTCACAAAGCCTCCCTGTTTCATTGAACTGAAGGCAAAAGTAAGGGATATTAAGTAGTAAGTTATAACCAGCATTTATACAAAGGCAAATAAGCAAATGTACGCTATTTTTCAGCTCTGATTTTGACTGCTGAACTACACCCAGCGTAAGGAATCTGAATGCATCTTCAGTCCCTCATTTGGTCAGTGTAGAGGGACAGAGACTCAGTGGAAATTAGCAAACACAGAGATATCAGGCTAGCTAACCAGTTTAGCTGATTCATAAAGGCTCTGAAATGTCCCCATAAATTGAAACAAACTGTCAACCAAGGAAATAACACACCAAGTCGTCAATGCTAAATGAGATATCTGTTCGCCTACTGAAGTTTTCTCACACGCATTAGAGTGTAAACTTGGCTATGTATTCAGTAAAGCAGCTAAAATAACTACAAAACACACTGCTAAACAAAGATCTTATAGGATTTGTCTCTCGAGCATACTTCCATATCATTACTGCTGACTAGCTGAGCTGAAATCCTGTCAGGCTGCTCTGTTTTCGTATCTGATAAACAGAACTGTTTTTAACACTTAGTCTCATACTCACTGGGGGGATTCATCATAAAAAGGGATGTTAAAATGTGTTCAGGTTTTTGTAAAGAATACAAAAAAACTGGATTATTTTGATTAAAAATAAACCATCTAGTAATCTAAAATGTAATCCATTGAACATGGCTGCAATTGTCGCATTTTCTATCAGAATCTACTTCATTTAATGAGATGAATTCTTATAGAATTCAGCCCTGCGCAGCTGATGCAGTGAAATTCAGAGTGGCCAGCAGAGGCTGCTGCGGGGTCTAAAGGTCATCAATAATCTGAAACGCAATACCTTTTTAAAGTAACCCTCTCATCCCTGCTAAAACAGAAATGTAATGGTAACAGAAAGTGTCTTTTCTCTTGTCCTGTCAGATAGAGAGCATGGCTCAAGTGAAAGTGCAGACATCAGCACCCCAGTCTGTGCCCGGCCTGGTGCCCTCTGTGCCCGCTGTGCCCAGTCCAGGAGCTTTGGGTCTGCAGCCCACTGTAAATGGCACAGTGCCCACCACGATGCCCGCCTGCTCCAGTCCGCCCGCTGGCTTCGTGGACTCCACTGTGCCCGCCAGCCCACCAGGTGTGTGTTTATTCTGCATCTTCTCTACGTCTCTGACATCATCAACAGAGACTATTTTTCTGCAAATGTTAATGCACACATTTGATGAACTTATAAAAATAGAATTTACTCAGTAGGGCTGATTAGTCAGGTCAAGGATCGTCATTAGGAGTTTTTTTGAATTAGAAAATTTTTTGACTCTTCAACCTTGTGCTAGCTCTTTCAGCAACCATGGGTTCCTTTAAGTAGCTGGCTGAGTTTCTGAAAATGGAGCAAATTGAATCCTGCGTAGAAGGAGTAGGCTATAAATAGATATGAAAGTGATATCTTCCAGCTCCCAGTTACCACTGTCTGAAATGGCATTAAAGGCGAACTGTGGAAGTCAAGACAAGATTTTGAAGACCAAGAAAACTCTCAGATAGTCCTACTCATATGCTGGCCAGAAAGGCAAAGCAAAACCCTCATATGACAGCAAAAGATCTGAAGGAAGGTTTCGCTGCCATAGAAATGGTGCACCGTTCTACTGTGCAGCGTTACTTGCACAAACATGTTCTGTAGCAAATACTGCAGACTGATGAAGTAAAAATGGGCCATAATCACCAAAGGTATGTTTGGTGCAAAAAAAAAAAATAAAATAAAAAAATCAGCATTTGATGAAAAGAACACTTGCCAGCTGTTCATCTATTATGTGTGGATCTATCATGGGTTGGGCATTGTGTGGCAGCCAGAGGCATAGGAAGCATTGCCCAGGTAGATCGGAGAATGGATTTCACTAAATACCAGCAAATTTCAGAGGCTGGCTACTGCAAGAGGACAAAGACCCAAAATATACTTCAAAATCTGCCTTGAGTTACTTCAAGAAATGCAAGCTGAAGTGTTTCAAATGTCCCTCACAGTCTTCTGATTTGAACATCACTGAAAATATGTGAGTAGATCTTAAACATGCTGTGCATGCAAGACAGCCCAAGAATATTACAGAACCAGAAGCGTTCTGTACGGAAGAGTGGGTGAAAGTTCCTAAACCCAGAACAAAAAGCATCTGTGATATGTTGCAAAAGGGGTTTTAAGTCTAGTCTTAGTAGAGTGTCCAAACTTTGCCACAATTATTTTAATTTATTCTATGTTTTAAGTTAATCAAATTTAATGTGTCTGTTTTATTAAAATAGTTTGCAGAGGTTGTGTTTACTAATTTTCATTAAAAAAAAATCAACAAAACACAAGACAAACAGCCTCAGCTGATTCGGAATGCAGCCTTTGTTTTTAACTTTTTTTGTACAAATCAATGCTTTCTGTCCAGTTAAACAGCTTTACATATAATTTACTCAGTTTTATTGGCTATTACAAAGTGATTAAATGATTGCTTTGGCTCAGTGATTAATTTATTGTGTGGTCAGTTGATTGATTGAAATGTGAATGTCTCCATGTCAGGTCCTCCCCAGGATAACATGGCAAACCCCAAAGAGAAAACTCCCATGTGTCTGGTGAATGAGTTAGCCCGTTTCAACAGGATACAACCACAGTACAAGCTGCTGAATGAAAGGGGGCCTGCCCATGCTAAGGTACATTACACCAATGGTGGACAAAGTACACAGTCACACACACTTTGTACACTTTGTTAAGTAAAAGTATTCTATTTATATATCACCTGAGCTAAACTACAAAAGTATTTGCTTTTAAATATGTGTAAGTATCAAAGATAAGAAGACTGTGAGGTACTCAAGCTGTTTTAGATATGTTGTATGTTGTTATTGTCACAGACAGTTTCTATTAAGACCCGTGTGGCTGTAACCGTTAAGTTTACAAAAGCAAACTTTCTTTTTTGTTCAAAATAGTGGCATTAACCAAATTAGCATATTTCAGTCATTATTTAGTGAAGGGTTTTAGTGTTTCTCCCACTTCAGAGTAACAAGTAATGACACCTTTGAGGTGTAAAATATAGGATATTTCATCTTTAAATATAGTAGAGTGTACAGGTAATTGGAAAAAAATATATTTAAAGGGAAACCCACATATTTTTACAAATTTCTGCATAATTCAGTGGTTGGGCTGAAATGTAAACAAAGTCATTTGGAATAGTTTGGTGTGAAACAATTTCCCATCAAACCACTCTGAATGACTGTTTTATCTTAACTGTTTAATTATGCAGAAAGTTTTGAAAGATTCCCTTTTATGTACAGTAACGAAGTGCATGAACTTCATCACTGTCAACCACTGAATTATTTCTGTTTATTAATATACACTGTTATCATGTGTTAACTTACTATAGCATGGGCAAAAGAATGAAAAGAATTCAGGCTTCGACATGGCTCCTGCTGTTTTTAGCTATGCTAATGTTCTTTAGTCCATGTTTATAGATAAAAATGTGTCATACAGAAAGCACATAATCCAAGTTTATTAGAGATTATTTAACACCTCCACATGAGTATGTGATGATGTGGGGAATTAAAATTAGTGGTGTATTAGCTTCCATTACGTGTTAGCTTAACGTTAGCTACTTGTGTTTTCTGTATATCTGTAGATCTTCACGGTGCAGCTGTGTCTGGGGGAGCAGGAGTGGGAGGCTGAGGGCACCAGCATTAAAAAAGCTCAACACTCCACAGCCACTAAAGCTCTGGCTGAAAGCAGCTTACCCAGACCTCCGCCTCGCTCCCCTAAAGTGGACACCAACAGCAACCCAGGTAAAGAAAACCCTCACAGTGCCTCACATACTGACTTTATTATAATGAAGATGAATACAGGATGTTTGAAGTCCAAAAGTGACCAGAATCAGCCCCTCATCACCCAGAGTGCCAAATGAAACCTGACAGGACTGCGCCACTATAATGCCGTTATTAGAGTGGATAAATAAAATATACAACAATAGAAAATAATATGCTTTAATAAACTAATTAGCTGTCCAAAATTAAGTTAAAATTCTGCTTTAGTAGATTTTACAGTTTTCATTTTTTATCTGTAAAGTAGTTCCATCCTGCAGACATTTAGGTCTCTTTATCTTCTGAAAACACTCTTCAGTGATGCAGGTTGTGGTTAATAGCCTACCTGTTTATGAAATCACTAAACAGAGCACAAAAAAACAAGAAACCAACTATTGGAACCAGATCAAGTTCAATATAGATGATTGTTGAGCTGTTAAAATATGCATAGAAAAGCTCTGACCAATAGAATAGGGCACTCTGGAGCAGCTGCACATGAGCATAAGGTCACCATGCCCAAATCCAGTCCTGGGTGTAAAGCCCCCGTGTAAAGCGTTAGGCTGTGGAGCAGTGGAACTGCGTTATCTGGAGTGATGGAGCTCCATCCCATACCTTTGGGATGAGTCATCATTACTAATGCTCTTGTGATTGAATGCAATCAAATCCTCACAGCAGTGTTCCAACATCTGATGTAGAGCCTTTCCAGAAATGTAAAGGCTGTTATTGCAGCAAAGGGGGACAAACTCCCTATTAATACCCTTGATTTCAGAAGAAACAGTGATGACTACAAACCTATGGACATGTAGTGTATGTGTGCTTGAATAACCATGAAAATTAAATATGAAGCAATATTTAATGTGATTTTTTTAAAAAATGTACAAATGAACATGTATGTTTTTTGTTTGTTATACAGGCAGCATCACACCAACAGTGGAGCTGAATGGCCTGGCAATGAAGAGAGGGGAACCGGCCATCTACAGACCGCTGGACCCTAAACCCGTCCCCAACTACAGAGCCAACTACAACTTTAGAGGAATATTCAACCAGAGGTAAGAACAGGGCTTCTTCAGCCAGCAGAATTCAGAACATGCTTGATGTGCCGAGTCTTTTATGCAAGTTTCAGGTGCAAAATATTAGATTTTGGAAGTAAATGTTTACCAAAGTCTGAAAATTTGTGTGTAACATTAACAACTATAACTGCAGGAATACGTATTTACTACAATTGAGCCAACTTTTTTGTGTTTTAATGAAAAATATTTTGATGTTTTGTGTATAACTTCAAAGCTGTGTTTGCTAGTTATGCACTGGCTAGCGTTTCTGAGTTTTGATCAAAATGAGCTTAAATTGTCACTACTACAACAGTCACTATTGACATATTTGGTGAAGTTTTAGTAGTGCTGTGATTCTAGTTTGTCACTAACAAACCAATGTTCAATTGTTTGTTTTTAATAAAATAAACATGATTAAGATATAGAGTCATTTAAAACATCAAAAGTCAGTTAGAAGTAAAGGGCACATTTATAACAGTATCACTAACACTGTAGCTGAGCCGGAGTTTGCTGAAAGGGCTTATTTTCATGTTATCCTTGGCCAGATATTAAGAGGCACCCTAATATAGCTAATATTAAACATACAATATTGACAAGTATCAGAAATGTGAAAAGTAGCCCACCATATACAATATCAAAATGTACCTCTAGCAAACTACATAAACAAAACTACAAAAAATAAAGAGCACAGACATTAACATTATGATCAGAATTATGCACACTTAACAGAAGCGACAAGTGACAAGTGATTTTTGAAGTGATTTATCATATATTACCTTTACACAGGGCCAGATTAAGACCGTTTGGTGCCCCTGGGCAATTATGCTCTCCACTCCCCACAAAGTCTGCAAGTCTCCCTGTCTCACAGATCATTTAATCATTGATAATAATATAAAACGTTGTCATTGTTTTTCTGACTTGTGCTATTCATTTTTTACAAAATATCTCAAATAAACCGACATTAGCTCCTCAGCAAAGACCTTTTCAAGATCAGCCAGGTATGAAGATGAGAGGCTGTCATTTAACAGATCCCTAATGTCACCATGCACAATGAAATAAAATGCCAAAGCAACAGGTTATTTTGTCTCTGTTTTAGACACATAGATGCCGTTGTCTGCCAGACTTCAGGCAGGCATAATGATGTAATGATTCACATTTGGATTATCCATAGACTGACAGGGAATATGTGAACAGTTCTAAAGTAAATGAAATGTTTCAAAAACTTGGTCAGATAATAGTCATTTTAAACGTGTGCAGTTTTTTTTTTTTGGAAGCAATGTATTGGTGCCCCTGGACATTAGGTGCCTCTGATCAGTCCCCCATGTCCCCCATGTCACCCATATGGTCTGGCCATGCCATTAAAGTTAATTGATAACAGGCAGGCAAGCAGTTAGCAATTAGCATAGCAAGAAGAAAAGACAAAAGAGGCAAGAAGAAATTAAGGCAAAGGTTTTTTTGGTTCACAAACCAATTGTATATTATGTGCTACAGGTAAATTAACTGAAATGTAACTGTTACATTCATCTATTGGTTAATATCTGAACCACCTCATTATTGAATGCTAGACTTTCTGTCCTTTCTTTCTGCAGTGTCAGTGATTATAACAATTTAATTCCACATATTTGCTCCTATTTTGAGCACAGCGTGAACGCTGAATGTGGTGTGCAGCAGGTAGTATAACACATTGTGTTTAACTCTTTGTTATAGAAAGAAAACGTTGAACAATGTAGATGATTAGAGGATTCATTGCTTTACGTAGACTTTTTTGACTAAATATCAGCAGACATTCTGCTCCCAACCAACAGGGGGCAGTACAGCTCCATTTATAATGAGCAATGCTGCAGTTGTGTAAGATCATTTTTTCTTTTTTTTTTTATAAACAAATGCCTTTTAAATTCATTCACTTTAAGGCTTTAGTTTTACAAGTTAAAGCTTCAGTTCACCACTTTTTTAGATAAAAGTATGCAGAAAAGGAAGAAAAAGTTTGATGAAGCATGTGTTCGCTTGCAACTGATATGGGAACTGTGGGGAATATCTGATCTTTTTTTTTTTTAACGTGTGTATATGCCGATACGATACATACATGAATAAGACAGTGTATAAACTGGGACTAAATCCACTTGGATTAGCATTGCAGAGAGATTTTTATTTCTGTGGAGTTACAAATTAAGTTAAATGAATAAAACACATATTACGGTCAGTCACTTAGTGTCACCTAAACATTCTGCTCTTCTGCAGTTCAGTGAGTACACCACCAGATATCAGTTTGAAATGTCTGTGGTATCCAAATATCTGTCTGATGTTGATAACATTTTTTTAATCAATCATCTGCCAGTACCAGTATGGTATCAGTATTATTGTATATCCCCAATTCTAAGACCTGAACTTTTTCCAGTTTATTTTTTTGTGTTTCTTTATAATGTTGTACCATTGTGATGTTTCAGTATTTGGCCAAAACCAGCAGAAATCCCTGTACCGGATATCGAACAATGACAAGAGCAATGAGTAGCTGGCATTCATCCGCTCAGGGAAAGGGGTCCAAAACACGGAACATGTTACATAATATTATTCCGCACATACATTGCAGAATTGTTTTTGAAAGAGAATTCAAAGAGAACTCTGTCGAAACTTTATGAATGACGTGTCTCCTGAGGGTGTGAGTGAATTATCTACTATTGCCATCATATCTTCATCAGTATGATGTTAATTTTGCATTATTGACCTAAACATTGAGCCAAACTTTCTTTTTGAGCCTGTGCGTGTGATGTAAAGACATAACATGGTACAAAATAACTCCCAACCCAACACTGAACATTTTTTCAAGCTTTTTAGGGCGACTCGCAGCAGCGTACACACACACACACACACACACACACACACACACACACCATGTTTTAGCCTATTTTTTATTCCCCTGGCTCATTAATACTCTTTCATTTTTAACAAAACATACATAGTGCAGTTTTAATCATCAAATTCTGTACATGTTTGCACTGTAAGTGATTGGTATCATTTAATATTCAAAGTTTCAGTCTCTGTACTGGAAGAGAAAAGGGCTATCGTCCTTCTCTAATTTCACAGAAATCATGTTTAAGTATAACAACGTGAAGTTAAAAAGAACATATTGAGTTGAACTCTCTTTAGTACAGAGTGATGGAGGGTGAAACAGGAGTGAGTGAAGGAAAGGTGAGAAACTCTGATAAATTCTCTTATCCTATAACACAAGAAACTCAACATGAGGTGATCTTTTTCTTTTTTTTTTCCTCTGCTGTCAATCAGGGGTCTCTGGCATAAAGCCTTTGAAATCCTAAGACAGAGAGGAGCCAATGCTAATCTGATCCACCACAGGATTACATCATACTGCTGCAGAGAGAGAAAGAGAGAGAAGGAGAAAGAAGGAGAAGAACAGAGAGAGAGTAGTGGAAAGAGAATAAAAAAGGAGAGGCATAGGAACAAAGAATGGAGAGAGAGAGTGAAAATAGGAAAAAGTGAGGGAAAGAGAGAGAACAGGGAAATAGGAGAAAGGAAAGGAAATAGAGAGAGTGAAAATAGGAAAGAGAAGAGAGAAGGGGAAAAGAGAAGGAGAGAACAGATTAAGAGGACAGAAAGGGAAGGGGGAGAGAGAAAAAAAGAGAAGAATGGAGAAGAGATGGAAAAAATTGAGTGAGAACAGGAAAGAGAGGAGAAAGGTAAAGGGAGAGAGAAAAATAAATGAGCAGAAAAGAGAGGAAAAGGCGAAGGAGTGAATGCACAGAGAAAACAAAAGGCAAAAGGGGAAGAGAGAGAGTAGAAGAAAGAGAAAAAGCTAAAAAGAGAGGGACAGAAAGGACAGTGAGAAAGAGGAAAAGTGTGAGAGAGGAGTAAAAGAGAATGGAAGAAAGAAAGAGAAGAGAGAGAGAAAGAGAGACATTACGAAGATATAGATTGTCGTGGCAGTGTTAAATGTGTGGATGATTAATTGGGGGTCCACTCCATGGTCAGTGTGCAGTTTGATGTCTTAATGAATTAACGTATTGCTGTTATAATGACTGTGGGTGTGCAGCGGAGTGAGCAGCGTGTTAAAATGGTGCTCTCTGTATCTGCTGTAATCACACTCTGTATTGATTGGTGGAAATGTATGCTGATTTATAGGGAGATTCAGTGGCTTTATGAACTCTGTAGATCAGCAGGGCTTTCTGCTCCTCAGCTCACAGACAGCTGCACTGATTTATTACTCACTGAACACAGAGCACAACTCAGTACGTAAATGGATTCACATACAGCTGTGCGATATATCGTCTATAGCAGTGTACTGATGTCTTTTAAGCCTGGACGATGATGTCAATTTAGACAAATGATTATCATATAAACGATATCATTGTGATCCCAATTTAATCATAAAGTATCACATGAGCTTTACATAACCTTATCCTATAGCTCACAATTTCCCTGATGGTAATATAATTATTGTGTATTTATCCTCAGGGCTTCTATTGTTGCTTAATCATTTATAATGGTAACTATGACTGCATGATGAATGATGTTTTTATTGTTATCATGAGAGTTTCTGTGATAAACATAGCAATAACAGATTGCCTCATACACTGAGTGCTAAAGAAACATGATTAGATTGGTGAACACACAATATAAATGAAGGAACCAGAACAACACAGTCCAGTCAAAGCAAACTCTGTCATAATCAAAATACCTTATTTTTGTACAGAGTAGTAGCACTTTATTTTTGACTTTACTGATGCTAATTTGTTAGATTTATTATGCTTTATCTCAAGTGCTTTCTAAGATGTTGCTAGGCCATAGGTATGGAATCTCAGGTGTTTGCTAAGGTGTTGCTGGGCTGTTGCTGTGGTATCCCAGGCGGCTACTGAGGTGTAACTAGGCTGTTGCTATAGTGTCTCAGGTAGTTGTTACGGTGTTGCAAGGGCATTGCTGTGCAATCCCAGGTGCTTGCTAAAGTGTTGCTAGGCCATTGCTGCGGTATTCCAGGTGACTGTTACAGTGTT